AGTGAACTATGGAAGGGAACCGGACGACTAAAGAGCAGACGGCAGATATATAAGATAGTGGGGGATGTCTGGCTGTCAGCGGGATGGACTGGGAGAGAGGCTCAACCTGCTCGGGGATCACAGTGTATTTATCTCGCCGTTCAAGTGCATGCTGCGCAGTCGTTCGAGGAGCACAGACGGCCCTGCCCTAGTGGAGGTCCCCAGCTTCATGCCCTCGCCGCATGTACCCTGGACGACGCGAGCAGGCTCGAGCATGCTTCTCAATTTGGTACGACGGAACCCTGCCCTTCACCGACTGCGGCTTCGTAAATTTAGGATGGGCGCTAGCACAAGGCTCGCGGCGGGCCACTGAGCGTTGGGCGCGTCAAGGTTGAGCGAGCACGGGAGAGTCGGAGGCCGTGCGCATGGGTCCGTATTGAAACGGCGGAGGTGAAAGCAGTGTATTGACGAGCGGTGTCTTCCCTCCCCCCTGCCACCGATGTGTCGCCCACAACCAGCCCTACGACGCTTGGCTGCGCGGCGCCGGCTCTGTCACTAACTCCGCATCCTTGCGACGGCGGGTTGCGCTGCTTTCATCATCACGCGTCCTGTCCTGACGCTAGATGCTGGCGCTCGTCCAGAGGGCGCTGCTGCTGGACCGAACGTCGAGTGCCGCGCGCCCTTCACGGGCACCACCACGCCGCGCGCCGCATGCGAGGCCGTCTTGGGGGCCAAAGGCTGGCCTGCAGCGGTCCTCACCACTATTCTGCAGGGTAAAAGACGTGTGCCAGTCACCTCCTCCTGCTGCTCGTCGCCGGCGCGCACCCCACACTCGCCCTGCTGTGGTGTTGAGACCTCGCAACAGGAGGCGCCTCTCGCTGCTCACACCAGATGTTCCACGTCGCGCGCCATTGGCTGGGCCCGCCCGCCCACTGTGTCGTCGCGCATGCACAACCTCCAGGCTGCTGCACACCGCGACTCGTCGGAGCGTGAACCACGCCGTGCATTTCAAATCCCTAGCGCACCGCCCTCGCAAGACCCTTTGGCACGCTCGCGGTCGGAGACGGCTTTCGAGGCTCCGCAGAACAGGAAGCCTGCTGCTTTGACGACCATTCTCTGCTTGCGGCCTAGCATGCACCCGCCCATCCCTCGCTTGCCTGCTTGCCTGCTTGCCTGCTTCGTAAGGCGACGTCTATGTAAAGATGCTGCTATTCGTCAGGCCGCCAACGCGCATTTCCACAGCAGCGCAAGCCACTCGTTGAGCCCCAGGGGTCGTCATCACATTTGAACAGCCCTACGCACTGTTCCCATGCTCTTCTGCCGCTGCATCAGCACTTTACTGCTGTGTCGGTGAGCCAGGACCCGACACAGGTAGTGTGGGCTCAGCCCAAAGCTTGTTTGCGGCTTCTGCGCTGCTTCCACGATGCTGCACCCACGGCGCAGCTTGCCATTGGACGTAGGCAACCCCGAATGGTAATTCCCCATCTACTCGTGGCCTACAACGCGAGCATAGCATCTTGCGCTGGCCGACGGCACGCCTTACGCCTGGTGGTAGAGGCTCTGGGCAGCACAACGGCTCCTATGGCTGCGCCATCACTGAGCCACGCACACACTTAACGCGGGTCCAAGGAGCAAGACACCTGTTCCATATGACTGAAGAGCTGGTGTAGAAAGGCTATTCAAGATGGTCGCTCACTGTCTTGTGCGTAGATGCCGCGCTCCGTCTGCGAGCATTATCCGCCACCAGGACTTCTGCTCCATACAGATCTTTTTCATGACCCACAAGAGCTGAGCTGGTGCGCTTTCCATGGGTGTCTCTCCATGAAACCTCAGTCCATCTTCAGCCTATTGTCCTGTGGGGCACTTGCTGAGCGCAGTACGGCCTGTCTTGCACCGGAAATAGTTGTGCACATGCGCTGTAAAAGGCGTTATAATGCTCACTGTTATGTCCGGGTCAAGGGTCAGCGTCCCCAGTGCCCATAGACTTATGTCTTGAGAGGAGCACCCTCAGCTGTTGTCGACCACGAGTCACCCTAGGGATGGGGAACATGGGCTGCTTGCCCCGAGACTGGGTCTTCTTTGTGTGGAGCATTGACAGTTCTAGATGTCGATGTAGAATCTCGCCTCAAACATGGTCAACCGGGAAAGGATGGGGAGGCTACTGTCACTCGTCTCCCCAACACGTTCTCGCGTCAGCAAGTCGAACCCGAAGAACAGGCCAACGGGCTACGGAACCACAGTATTCAACTGCCTGTGGTGTTCTTGAAGCTCTGATAGGTATCTTCTTTTACAGGGCGGCTTCCAGCACAATGGTAGTATCACAGGGACACTTTGGTCGCGTTCCCGTTTACCAGTCTCTGCGCTGCTCACTGACTCGATAAGTCACAGTTGAGAGTGCTGTAGACTTCAAATAAGTTTTTGAATTGCTCAGACATCGAGGCAAAAGGCTAGTACTCGAAAGCGTACTGAAAGGCTCGAGAGCTCTCACACAGCCATATACGCCTTACAGATAATATCGCAGTGCGTGGGCCGCAGACCGCGGTGTTCCGGGACCATACCGTCGCACGTCAAGAACCTTTGTGATCACGTGGACGACCAGCCAAGTGACGGCCAAACAGACAATACGTGTGGCGATGCGGGGTATTCAGCAAGCGTTCTTCGGCCTTATCTGTAGCGCTCCTTCACTGTGCACCGATATACTCTCAAGCTTTGTAATTAGCAATGTTGCATAGTTCGATAAGTAGAGTGTAGAGTGGACGAGGATGGTAAGAGAGCCAACACAACTACGTCCGTGCTGATCTAGGAGGTGCATGGATTGCTTCAAGCACTGCCCTGCCACGACGATCAATCGGCCGAACCGCACGGAGATGCATTCCCCAGCCCAACATCGCAATTTACACGGCGCAGCTCCGAGCTTTCAACGCTCATGGTACAAGGTATTGCATTCCACACGTTCAGCAGATATGCACCGTAATTTGACACGCGGGCATGAAAGACATTGTATCATTCAACGCGGTGAGGCTTCAGGTCGAAATACCCATGCACAACCCCGGATTGGCTAGCACCACGCGTGCTCCCTGTCAGCCAGGCCTTGGGATCTACTGTGGTTGGCCGGCTGATCTCCCAACTCACAGCTTGCCTCATCCGGATCGCTAAGCGACCGCTCCAACGGCCATGCCGGCGAAAGTTCACCGCCGCCGCGAGAATCTTGAATCCTTCCTGCATCGGTGGAAGTACTGCGAGACATCACGTCTTGGAGCACACCGGCCCACAGCCTTCTGTTTGATTGCGAGTCCATCATGGCTGTCCTTTCTTGGCCATGTCGATTTCCTATCGTAGTAAGAGCAGGCATGTCTTGAACGCAAGCACTGCCAAAACGCCTGGTACGATACAGCCTACCAGAAAACCACGATCGGTGCCACCGAAGCGCACTCACGATCAGCTCCCGTCGTCGCAAAATAGCTACGGTTCAGTTGAGTAACCGCCGAGCATATGCTTTGCTGTCCATTTTTACACACTATTTGCAAGCAGGCGAGTCTACGAGGAGCCGAACTTGAGAAGAGTGGCCTATTTTTAGTGGCCGCTGCGCCAAGTTGAGCCACGAGCCTGCTGACAATAGCCTTGTTCACCTCTCCCCACCTCCACCGTAGCCCTACAGCCCTACGGATGCAAGACCAGCGAAATGACACCAGGCTCCAGCTATGCGCAAACGTGTTGCATACATGCGACGCTTGACCCCTGCTTGTGTGCCTCGAGCGTGGAACCTGACAAACTCCAGAGATAGGTAAATGCCGGACGTTTACCGATATTGAGGAGGATGCATTTGCAATCTCATGATGCGTAACAAATACCTCGTGGCCGGATTTCAGCACTCACCGACCTGGTGGGCGTGACCGGTTGGCGCAAGTTCGGCAAGGGATAACCAGAACGCTGGGCTTGCATCCCACCCCATACTATGCATCGAGAGCTTGATCAACATACCATGTCCGCGCTGAGATGCGGACGAGGAGCAACATCCACATTTGTCGCGACCTCCGCTTCGGTGTACAGAAACACTCAAGATATCAACGCTGCATTATATCCTGGCGAACAGTCTCAATCCAGCTCGACGTTCACCGATGAGCTACTCGGAACTGTTCGCTTTGGACACAGACAATAGTACTTGCAGTGCACGGCAGTAACGTGTCAGATCTTGTGGCAAAGGTCTCTGTTCGAGACCTTGAGAATATTCCCATGCGGAACGTGCGAATCACATTGCGCGCTTGTTTCTGTCGCCATGCAAGTTGTGAAGCAGACTTCGACAAGAACGGGGATGCAAACTGATGATCAGCCGCAACACGCGATTTGAAACAAGAACCGAAACAAACGAGCAATCACATACCCTGGCCGCAACAAGATCTGCCAAGCAAACAAGACATGGCCCCAGTCTGGATAACGTCCAGTGTTATGATTTGTAGTGCTGTATGCTACGTCCAACGCTATCACTGGTCCTGTACGAAAGGAAGCAGTCCTTATTTGGCAAGACAACTACCACGCGACGCCCTGTCGACATCAAGACGTGACATCGTTACCCACGAAGCAGTAGAGATGACTGTTTGAGAACATTACACGGGAACGCTAACGCACCTCGAATCCTTCCAAGCCTGCCCCTCATTACACTGGCTGTAGTCGTAGCGCTGGGGCGTTAAACGCGGTGGCTTTGTGCAGGTCAGTCTCGGTTATAGCGATACGGGTGTTTAGCGTGGACATTTTGAGTTTGATATGCGAAAAGCTGATTCCCTTGGCCATCTACTCGGCTGGAGAAGCTCTGTCACGACGAGGTTCACCATGCCGATTGGTGATGTATGAGCATGCCGAAAGACTTATGCCGAACGCCCTGTGCCGACACCTTTTCGCTTTCTAGGTCCCGAGCGGCATGGCACGAACAAGCCCATAGTAATCTACGCTCCTCAGACTCCAATTTCACGGTGAACAGGCCGTTACCAAGCAAGAACTGCTAGTTCGTGCTTGGAGGCCTCTTCTACTGAAGCTCATTTCTCCTCTCCTTTGGTTTCGTCGTAGCTAGCGACGAAGCCAACGGCTAGAAATAGCCACACAATGATCCGACGTACTTCCTGGTTGGCACATTCGTGCTTCGCTGGGACGGGTGAGATGGAGGTCGGAGTCAACGGAGTGATCCCACTACGCATCTAGCCCAACGTGCATACGCACCCTCAGAGTAACAACGGAAGTGACAAATACACATCTCACCAGGGTCTAATCTTTGTCGCTTCAGGAGGACAGAACACCACTGCTCGACTAGACTACTGCAGCCCTACAACTTCCATCCACATACGTGCTCTAGGCATATGCATCTCCGAGGCAGTTAATCAGCATACGTGGTGTCGAAGTAGCGTGGCATTACGAATCGTTCGAGTTAACAAATGCAAAAGTAGGGTAATGCTGGAATTGGCAAGTTACTTTGTGAGGCTGCAGATCGCCAAGGTGAAAAGGCTCCAGTCACATCTCCACCACCTTGGAAGATATGAATTTTTGTAATGCAGAGATATCCTTTTTCTCCTCGCTTCTGCTATCTGAAAGTAAGGACATGAACTGCTCCCAAGTACGCACTCATACGCGTCGTAAGCGCTGGGGCGTTGCCGATACACGGATGTCGGATTTCGGAATTATTTGCAGCATCTCCGACAAGCCGTCTCGCATCACTAAGTCGACTACGGTTGATTGTGGTCAATGCTATTGGAAGATGTGGTACCGTCGCGTCAAGGCTAGGTCTGGTCCGTGGCCGGCCTGAAGTGCATGGCTCGTCCACCGAAGTCATGGAGATAAGGCATTGTGGCTCGAAATGCGGGCAGAGAAGGCTTTCTGCCCTGCTTGATGCACACACACATCAAGGACCAAGTCTAAAAGCCGAAGGAGGACTCATCGCTGCACCGAAGATGTAGCCTGTATCCAACGTCGCCAATTAGGATATTGGGTCTGGCACACATGTTGTTCGCAAGCATAATCAAGTACTGATGTACGGTGAATACACGATTACTACGCGTGGTGGTCGCTGAATCATCATTTTCACCCACACACACCCCGCGTCAGCCATCCCAAGGGACTGATCAGCCCACACCGTCGGGTGCGAGACGACTTCCCTGCGTATGGAGTACCGCTCGCTGTCCGGCGTGCCACTAAAAGCGCCTATCTCAGCACAACGCGGAAATGGCGTTCCGAGCCATAAAGCCATATGATGCACGTCTTCAGCCAAACATTGTGAGATACTAGCAGGCCCATGAACGACCACCAAGTTGACTATATTCACAAATATAGACGGCGCAGGTAATGTCTGAATTGCATAAACCTAGGTCAAGCAAATGGCAATGCCGCTAATGTACCAATCGAGTATTACTGCGCGAGCGATAAGGTTAATCGTTGCCGACCTATTTCTGGATGGAGACCATGCGATACTACTGAACGTTAATGCTTCGACATGATTAGGGAGTTCGTATGGAAACTAACACCAGCCAGCCGTGTTCATCATTTGAGCCAGCATTTCGCACCCGAGAGGGTTTGGTCGGGCGACCCTCCGCGCATTCCGCGATCAGAAGTAATGCCTAGCTGCAAAGCATACAAACCACTCGACGCGTTGGCTTTGTAGTAAGAGTGCTCTTAGCCACAGCCTACACTCTAAGCAGTTAGTATACGGAACTCTCTTTTCGGTCTCCGGCACAGTCACGTGAGGTGACGGAGTCGCCTCCGCATTACTGATCAAGGGTTACCCAACATGGCATAGACACCGTGGCTCAGGCTTCCCACGGGACCAACCGCAGCTCACTCGCTCGTTCGCCCGCGCGTCGCTCGCACGGGGGCTGTCTTTAGCTTACAAACAAGGCGTCCTGACTCCTAACACAACTTGATGAGCCATGCCACCGACTGTCGATCTCCATTATGCACATCTGAGTCTGTGTTGATTGTTGAGTCTTGGATTAACAGGAAACGGTCGGTACCATTCGGCCGAAGGTACGTGCGAGCACGAGTCGAAGAGAGGATAGGATTGCGATGTGAATCATGAGCCGTGTCCCCGTACACTATCCACGATGGGTAAGTGTAGGAGCTTGTCGTGTTTTGAAATGGCCGAAACTCTCTAAAGCGCCGCATTGGCCCCCTTTGGCAGCGATTGTTCTAGTGGCAGTATCCTTACGTTACGCTCCCACGCTAACGTTCCTTGTCCATGTCACTGGCCAAAAGTGCTGTAGTCCGGGCTTAAACAGAGCCACAATCTCCACCCTAGGGCTGAACATATTTCCCGGAAGGACGCCGTCTTGCACACTACTGATCGTTCTTTCAAGAGTCATATTGGTGCTCTGCGAAGAACCATGGTAGCAGCACGTATCATTAATCAAGCCTGTGACATTGACAGGTCTCCCCTTGACGGCTGGGATTACCCCTTTGGCCCCTGGCACCTCCACCGGAGCGTGGTCCGGCGAATGAAGAGCCATGTTTCGGTGCTGTGTGAAAATCGCGCCCTAGCCATATGGGATTTTCCTGCGCAATGCTTGCCTAATCGAGGACTCCGAGACTCCAAGTCTACGGATCCTGGCAGGGTGCGTTTGTGTCGAAACAATGAAGTCGCAACTTAGTCTGCTGCTCCAACGGCCGTTCAATCAATTTCAAGTGAGTCAATTTTCGGTGATTTGCACAACAGCGATCAAACACGGTGATGTCATGTTCGCAATGCCCTACCCCAGATTCTCCCAAGGTCGCGACCGTCAGCTCCGCCAAGGATCTGGTGTGGTCTGTCATCAACGGGAGCTTACTTCAAGGATACGAAGAGGCTTTCCCTCCTTGTAGGGCTGAAGGTTGTCCACGCGGGGTGACAATGGTGATCTAGTCAGACTCGGTATTTCAACACCGAAGATGAGCAACAAAACATACCTTTCCATCGCATAGCAATCGATGAACACAACAGACCCGGGCCGGTACACACGGCACGACCGGATTGTCTACTCGCAAATTGGCCGCGCAAGCTACGTACCATAGCCCCCCCCAATCCTCCCCAGTCGCGGATCCTCTGAAACTCTGTGCTCCCCCATGTGATGTTCACGCAAGCTCACAAAGAACCGAGCGAGCCGGCTCGGTCGAACAGTCGTGTCCGAATTTCCGTACGCGGCTTCTACCGGGTCGCCAAAACACGTAGCATCAACATCGCTTCTGCAAGGTGCAAGAGACATTCTGTTGGCTGCTTGACCGGTCACCTTGCGCAAGACTTATTTGCCTTGTATATAGCATTGATAGGGCAATAGGCAATGAAGCGAGCAGTAGTTGGGGGCCGTACGCTAGGCCACATGGAGACTATGGAGACTTTTTGGTGTGGGTGCTGAGGCTCCTGGCTGGAGCTGTCGGTTGCCGTGTGGCACGGTTCGAAGGCACGCGTTCTTTGTACGATTCAACCGATTCAAAGAGGTGATTGGCAGGAAAGTGCGCTTTGGGCATGGCCCGTGCCTCAGTGAAGTGTGTTGGACGTTTGGGCACCCACGAGTCGTGATGTGGAGGAGAATCGCAGGCATGTTCGCAAACCACGTACTTCCTTGAACGGGGCGATTATCGCATTGACGATCTGCTCGAGGGGCTCATGGCATGGCGCAGGGAACCTTGGCAGGACAGACACGTTGAGATGCCAAGCATCAACCTCCAAATTACGCATCGATGCGACAAAGCCAGTTGCGCGCAGCTGCTCCAACGCAACCACACTGCCACCAACATTACGCCCCAACGCCCGCTTGCCAAACCCGACCCACCATCGCGAACCACGCTTTCTGTCCGCGTTTCACCTCCGTTCAAGACACGCCCACGGCGGCGCCGTTTCGCCCGTGCCCTCGCAACAATGCGGGCGCGAGATCCGTACGTATCCGGGAACCCCAGTCCTGGGTAATCTGCAGATTGCCCCCTCGCGCGTATATCGGTGGCATAACCGTCCGCGCAGGAACCGCTACCTCAAGAGGCAATTATACGAGTAATGGTGATCGGCAAGACCCAGAACGACGCCTATGAAGATGCAACGGATTCATCGCTCCTAAAGCCCTGACCCAAACCACCGCCCGAATACCAAGATGCTACCAAGACCCTGGATCAGCATCAACATCAATCCCAAGCACCAGGGCCTAGTCGCGCACATCAATAGCATTATTGTTCCACAGGCTAAATGCATGGAAGCGCGCAAAGTATGCCTCGTCGGGCGTAAGTGTCCCAGACACACAGCACGCTTCTTTTAGTCTTTGCCAACGAAAGTTGCCGGCGCAGGGGAGGGGAAGCGCGCATTGAATATCGTTAAACAAGTCCAACCAGACTATTTTCGTAACATTGCACTTGCTCTGCTGGGCGTTTAAACGCTCGACAGCCGGCTAGGCTGAGATGGGGCATGGGCTCGGCCAGGAGCACCGGGCGTAACCTGGGGGCCAGAATTAACATGGCTGGTAGGTGGGATGCATGGCATTCAGCCCTATCGACGGTATCAGAGTCATGACTCAATGGCTGAGGCGGGGGGCATTCCAGCTCCGGAGCGCAGCGTGGCAGGGAAATGCTCTGTGCGCTGTTGTACAGAACGCGTGTCTTTGTTCTCGGACGGCGCGGCTGAAGCTCTCACGGGGCGCAGTGGACGACGTTGGGAACAACGGCTCGTCTAGTTGATCCGTCGGGGACTCGTCGACCCGCCCGCATCCTCAGTTCACATGTGGAGCGGCCTATACTCGAAAGCGAAATACGTACGCGAGTGTGCAGATATCTAGCAATACCAAACAAATCCTGCAACTTCTAGAACATGGCTCGGGGATCCACATGCGGAGGAACTCTCTCACAGAGCCGCATGGGTCGCATTTCTTCCGTAGGATTCTGGCGACATGTGTACATGTACGTGTGCTGCATGCAGGACTTGTTCGGCGTATGCAACCTGAAGCGTATGGTTTGCATGAGGACGAGGGGAGGGGGAAGACGGAGTAGTTTTGATTTTGCGAGTCTCGATAGGAAATTTGAGAATATACAGAGTTATCGATTTGGGCGTTGAAGCCAGTTGCCATCTAAACAAAAAAGAATCAAGTCCTACCCTACCTACTCCCTTGATCTTCCCCATGCATATGCACACCAGTCCATCACTTCCTCACTACCCTCACCAGGCAGCGGCAAAATTCGTGTCCGCTCTACACACGTGCAAAGTGATCTAATAGTCTCCAGAAGCGCACCAATAAGTTCACAAAGAAACCTGAATATATTCAGTGCTATAAGATATCTTATCCGGTTTTGCAAAAAGAAAAGGTTTGAACATATTCAGGCTACCTCTTCACACTCTCCTCGTTCGGTAAAGGCAGACAGGAATTTTGCCGGGGCCTGGTGCCCTCTCCCTTTTGTCTCCCCTTCCCAAATCCACTCCCTCTATCCCCCCTCTTCCAGCCTCTCCTCCACCCTATCCCCTCCCCTTCAAACCAACCCACCCCGTCCCACGTTCCACAACATACCCCCTCTTCAAACTCGGTTACCCCGACAGCACGCCAATCTGACCGGGCCTTCCACTCGCTCGGCACGACAACGCGGGCGACCTGTCGCATGATCAAGTTTTTGTGCGACTAGGGGGGGGGGGGGGAATGCGGTGAAGATTGTGTAACGTGGGCGGTGGACCGGTGAAGTAGAGCGGTCAGGGAAGTCGAGGCTGAGTTCGGCGAGGAGGTGAGGAGAGGTGAGGAGAGGAGAGGAGGGATCAAAGAATTAGGGGTGGACTTGAGGCTGTGATGGTCGGCGAGAGAGTGTGACGGCGATGCGAAGAGGTGGGAAGGGGTCGGTATTGGTGTTACCGGAGGAGGATGAAGGGAGTGAGACTGGCTTGATAGTACTCCAAGGACTGCCGAGTTGTTAATTCATGTTTACTTGCGAAGCAATTTCGGCTATGAATTACGCGTGTATACTGCCATAAAAGAAGGAAGAAGGCTCAAGAGAAGGGATACAAAGTAATTTGAAACAACAGAATGGAGATCTAATATGCATCTACACTTGGGTATAACCTAACCTGACAAAACACCACCAAAAGAATACTATCACCGCACTTCCTCGAACATACCTCCAACAGTACCTCCCTCCCTCTTCACTGCGCACCCCCAACAACCATCTTCTTCTTCACAGCCCTCATACTCGCCACAGTCCCCTCCTTCCCCTTCTTCCTCCCGACCTCGACAACAATCATGCGCACAAAGTCCCTACTCAGCCAATAACTACTATGCGCACCCAGCATAGTCAAATACTGAATCTCCAACGGCCCGCCCCCATACTTCATGAAATAGTCAATCTGGCCATTATCATTGAGTAAATACGCCCTCTTCTCCGCAATCTCCTCGCGTGTGAAATTGTGCGTTTCGAGCTCGACATTGGACGGGAGACGCGTTACGGAGGGCTTGTATGCGTCGCTGGCGGTGGTGTGGCTGTAGCTGTCTGTGCGGCGGAAGGGGTTGGCAAAGGAGAAGTAGGATGACGTTGCAGAGGGGATGGTCGCGGGTTTGAGGGTGTTGGCGTAGACGACGTCGACGGTCGCGTTGATGCGACAGGCCACGGGGTCGTATGGGTTGATGATGTTGTAGATGTTGTCAACGGCGATACAGCCGTATGTGCCTTGCTCGCCAGCTACGCCGGGCGCGGCGTAAGAGTCTGCACCTGGTTTCTCCTTGTCGCGACGGGGGAGGAGGTTTGCGTTTTTCATCATCAGGAAGAGGCCGACTGGACTGCCGCAGACGAAGAGGTCGGTGGTGTTGAAGATGAAGTGGTCGTCGGGAAGCTTGTCTTCGGGGATAGTTGGGTCGTGGAAGTGAGGGTCAACGTAACTTGGTTGTGCGCTCAGAATGTCAATCGCCATGACTGACCCAAGAGAGTGGGCAACTAGATGGACGCGACCATTCTCTGAGAACCCTGGATTGTTCGCACACCATAGTCGGTAGATCCGGTTGGCTTCTTGTATACACGCAGCGACCATCTTGGGGTTGTGCTGGGGCGAGAGATAGTACGGAATGTCGAGCATGACATCGCTGACGATGCCTCGAACAGATGGGAGTGTCTCTGGAGTGATGTCTTTGAGCGTGTACTTGTTAGCAGATGGATCTTCAGCTACATCTGGATCTGTAGCGCCAATGTCGAGTGATACGCGTTGTCGCCAATTTACCTACGTAAAATTAGCATGCAAAGACATACAAGACACACATCAAACACTTACCGGCAACACCATCATACCACCCATGTCCTTTCGCAAGTGCCGCTTGACTTCTGGAGTTCCAAGCTCCACGTTGACTTCTCTCCTGAACCCGTTCATGGCATGTGTGAAGTGAAACGTCTCCATGCGCTCCGACAGCTTCTGGCCGATGCCATGTATGACCAGCACAAGATCTGTCACCTTTGGTCTCTCAGACAGTGCGAGGTCCGGGTCAGACTTCTGTCTCCGATACTGCGGCGCTCCGCCTTGCGATGAGGAGACTCCCTCGCGCGCAGCTCTTGCTTTGGGCGAATTCTTGTTCGGATGCAGCCTGTCCCATTTGGCCTGATCAAATCCACGTACGACCGGGATGCCAATCGGCCGCCCTTTGCGGATGTAATTTGCCAGGGGGCGTCGTCCATAGTACTCTGATGGCTGCAACGCCGGCTTTAGTATGCACGCTTCGTTTTCTGTGGAATAGATGACGCCGGCTTTCAAGTACAGATGCTTCTGGCCGTTTGCACCGTACTCGAGGTCCCCCACGGATTTATTGTCTGGCCCATCTGGTCCGGTGGAGATGTCTATGAGATCGCATACGTTTTCTACTATATCTCTCCGCTCTTGCTCCGGATCCTCGTCTTCCTGCGGCATCGTGCTTTGAACTAGACCCGTTGTCTGCATTTGCTGAGACGTCGAAGGTCGACTTTCAGCAGGCTTGCGCGGCTTGTCGGGCCACAACTTGTGCAATATCTTCATTTCGCCATATGCACCAACCTCGATTGCGCTGTTCAGTTCATCCTTCCACGTCTGCGTCCACGGCTGCAGCTCTATATATCCCGCTTCGAGCATGTTCGCGACCTCGACCTCGACAGGCAGCATGCTGTCCTTGTAGAACCATGTCCCTCGGATAATCTCAGCGACGTCACTCAGGGGCGACCAGTATATCGGCTCCATCCGAAGAGACTCTGCTTCCAGAACGACCTGATGCAACCTCGACACGCCCACGGGCACTTTGGTTGAAAGACCCTCTTTCGGCCTCGAGGCCCTCTTTGCCGGACCCTTGTCTTTGTTGGCCGACAGAGCTGGCTCCATGTCGTCGTCCCATTTGTAGCTGTCGTGGTCGTGCACTGTAGGCCGGCCAGAGCTTTCTGCCGCAGGAGGCTTCCACGAGCGAGGTATATTGGTGCGCGAGGGTGCTCGGATGAAGGGCGTGCCTGTCGTCGGAGGCTCGAGCGGCGAGACATGCCCTGTGTCCGTGGCCTTCAGCGAGCCGCTCAACGTGGGGCCCTGGGAGCCGCCGCTTGAGCCCGGCCGTCGTCTCTCTGCCAGCTCAGCGGACCTGGAGTACTCTCCTCTGCTAGAAGATCGGGCTCCGGGAATGTCTCTGCCGTGCATGTAGCCTCCATCCGGCGAAGCACTGCTGCTGCCTCTCTTCCTCTTCAGGCGCTCGACTGCTGCGTTCGTCGGCGTGCCGCGGCCATGGCTGTCCTTCTCGCCAGCCTCCTCGTTGTGCTTCAGTATCTTCTTCCTCAGCTCCAGCCACGACTCGTTTATGGCATCGTTGTCGTACTCGGAGAAGGGACGTGGTGGCTGCTTCTTGCCGGCTGCTGAGCCAGTCACGGGCGGTGGAATGGGAGACAGCGGATCGTCTATAGCGAGGGGCGACGTGTAGAAGTAGCGAACATCTATCTCTGGAGGCGCTTCGGTTGAATGCAGGACTTCGCGGATGTACTGGTTCGCGTGTGCAGACAGCGTGGGCTCGTTGCTCGCCATGGCGGCCATGGAACGGTGAAAGCAAGGAACGGATAGGGAAAAAACTACGTCGTTATCATCACGTCAGTGTACAAAGAAACCACGCGTCCTCTTGGAGATGGCGCGTGGGTACAGCATGGCACGGTTTGGAAAGGTGGCAGCCTTGACTTGTGCATTACCCGTCGCGGTTGTTTTCCGATGTCACTTGGGGCGGTGACGCAGCTACCCTCGCTAAAATGGCGCCTGAGCATGTGAACGCTCCTGCCCGTGTCACCTGCATCCATATCCATCACTTCAACATTCAACTTGATTTTGAACTTTATTTCGTACTTCCTGAGGAGGCTCCTTTATATACAGTCCTAACGAGAATTACATCCATTCCTATCCTCCCATGCACTCAATGCTTGACCCAAGAGTACGTCACCGAGACACCGAGACGGATCAAGACTGTCTTGGTCTGGATGTAGTTGTCCAGCGCAGCCTCACCAAGCTCACGGCCAATGCCGCTCTCCTTGTATCCTCTGAAGACTACACCAGTCCGAAGCGTCAGTCCAACGAAGCGTCAGTTCAACGTCCTCGCCAAGCTGCTCAGTTGGGTCGGCGGTGAGGTGCCATGGAACGCGAAGTGGCTTGAGCCTTTTGATGACGTCTACGTCTGGCGTGCTCTCGATCTTCGCTGATATAGCAGTTGTCAACTTGGATGTGTCCAGTACTAGCTCTGCACTGGCCGCTGGCGATGATGGTACATCTGTTGTTAGACTGCAGGGGCATGGGTGTAGAATTAGTACATACTTACATAAGAGAGTACTTCATCTTCCATAACACCATCTATCCTGAGTCTGACCCAAACAACCTGACATCTGTCTGGTATCAGTTCGACGGTGGTTTCATGCCCGACCCAAGCGCGCCCTTCAGCGATGAGTTCTGGCATCTCTCTAGGCACATGGGCTGGGACGCAGTTGATTCTCCACAGTTGAAGTACTCCTGACCACCACCAGAGCCACCCTCGGGACAGTCGCGCTTCTGATGGCCAGTCTCACCGCAGCCTTAGCACGCGCGGTCGCCGCCATCTCTAAAGCCGTTGGTGTTAGTGCCCTTAGCTTTAGACTTATGGTGCTTCTCGGAGTTCTTGTGGGCGTTCCAGTCTTTGGTTGGGATGATCCTGTCGCAGAGCTCGCAGGTGGTGAGGTAGGGCTTTCAAGTTCAAGAAAGCCGCTGTCAAGGTCGTCAGTGCCGCTGCTGACAAATCGAGTTCACCAGCTGCAAGCTCATCGCCCGTCCCTAGATCGCCGGTACCGCTGCCACCAAATCGAGTTCACCGGCTGCAAGCTCACCAGCTGCAAGCTCCCCGCCCGTCCCTAGATCGTCACCAACACAGTTGTCTCGAAGAATGACGAGGCCGCTCAACTTGCAAGAAAGGACGAGATTGATGAGCCCGAGTCGAGGGAGAGCATGTATCTTCGAAAGGCCGCTACGAGATTGATGAGCCCGAGTTGAGAGAGGGCATATATCTTCGGAAGGCCGCTCAACCTACGGGAAGAGACGAGATTAATGAGCCTGAGTCGAGGGAGAGCATCTATCTTTGAAAGGCCGCTTAACCTATGGGAAGAGATGAGATTGATGAGCCCGAGTCTGGCTATCTTAAAGCTCTACCACATGGCAACAGTGTTCCTGTCGATATCATCAAGTCGAGGCAGACACTCTCTAAGTAGCTCTCCGAATAAGACCGGCTTCGATTGTTTCCTCAGATTATGCACTCCTCCTCGCTTGTGTGTCTATGATTCCCAGATTTTCACCCTTCTGCCGCAATTAACAGACAGCCGCCCGGCCTTCTGCTTTACTCACCTCAGGCGGAGACACCAGTGGCCTCACCATCCTCGTCCTGAGAGTGCACGCCATGGGTATGCACTCTCATATTGACAGTATATTGTTGTTTGCTGATGCACGCAGCTCACCACCATACCCTCAAATATTACCACTAAGAAGCAGACTCGATATGTCACACTTAGTGAAGGCTCTGCAAAAAACCGAGACGCTCACGATGATTACGACAAACTATATGTCACGTATTGCACACCATTATAGGAACGATTGAGCAGCTCAAGCAAAACTATCGTGTACATCTCCAGGGTAGCGTATAGCGAGGCTTGTGGCATCTTAAGACGTGATTGGATCCTGACTGGATGTTTAATCAGTTATGCGTTTCATTCACGAGTGTGTTTTAAGTGGTGTCGAGATCTCTAGACTGCAAAACCATATCAGCGAGCTGAGGTCCGTGCACAAGAGTTTGCACTCCAAAAAAAAAAATGCCGTGAGCAACAACAACTAAATCACATCGTCAAAAACAAGTAAAGCACATCGTCGAGCTAAAAGGTTACTATATACAGTTCTTTAATACATATTTCAGTTCTAACCGAAGAGAACATCTCCGAGGCGGATCGACACAGTCTTGGTTTGAAGATAGTTGTCCAGCGCAGCCTCACCAAGCTCACGGCCTATGCCAGACTGCTTGTATCCCCCGAAGGGAAGAGCCCAGTGGAGAGCGTTGTATGTGTTGACCCAGACGGTACCGGCGCGGAGTGCGTTGGCGACCTCGATGGCCGTGTTGAGGTTGGTGGTGTGTACTGCGGCGGCAAGACCGTAGGTGGTGCTGTTGCCAATCTTGATGACATCGGCCTTGGTCTTGAACTTGGAGATAGTGCAGACTGGGCCGAAGATCTCTTCTTGCTGGATCGTCATGTCCTCGGTGACGTTGGAGAAGATGGTGGGCTCAATGAAGTAGCCCTTGTCGCCCTTGCGCTTACCACCCGTCTCAATAGTAGCTCCAGATTTCTTGCCCTCCTCAATGTAGCTGCATTTGCGTCAGTTGTGTTTTATACAGAAATGTGAGTGCAACATACCTCATGATGCGGTCAAACTGGAGCTGTGAGACCTGGGGACCCTGGAAAGTATCCTTGCTGAATGGGTCACCGACAGCGTTCTGAGCAGCTCGCTCCCTGAAGCGGGCGATGAACTTGTCGTAGATCTCTTCCTGTACGTAGATACGCGATCCAGCACAGCAGCATTGGCCGTGGTTGAAGTAAATACCGAAGTTGACCCAGTTAATGGCCTCATCGATATCGGCGTCAGCGAAGACGATGTTGGGGCTCTTGCCACCAAGCTCGAGAGTGACCTTCTTCAAGTTGGAGCCAGCAGCCGATTTCATGATCTGTCGACCGACGACGGTGGAACCGGTGAAGGCAATCTTGTCGACGTCCATGTGTGCTGAGAGGGCGGCACCAGCAATCTTACCGAAACCAGTGATGACGTTGATCACACCTGGTGGGAAACCAGCCTCCTTGATCAAGTTGGCAGCAATGTACGCGGACAGAGGAGTCTGCTCAGCAGTCTTGATGACAACGCAGTTACCAGTGGCGATGGCAGGGCCGATCTTCCATGCCCACATGAGAAGAGGGAAGTTCCAGGGGATGATCTGAGCGCAGACACCAACCTAAATTCTGTCAGGTTTGTATGCTTGGAGCAAGAGGGGATGATACTCACGGGCTCCTTGCGGATGTAGTTGAATGTGTCGGGGGTTGTGTCAACGACCTTGCCCTCGATCTTGTCTGCCCATCCACCGTAGTATCTCAGGCAACCGACGCAGGAGGGAACGTCAACGTTCTTGGCCATGTTGAAAGCCTTGCCGTTGTCGAGAGCCTCGACTGAGGCGAGGAGGTCGGCATTCTTCTCGAAGAGATCGGCAAGCTTAACAAGAAGCCTTCCACGGTTCTCGGGGGTCTCCTTTCTCCATGGGCCATTGAACGCTTTGCGGGCAGCGGCGACGGCAATGTCGACATCCTTCTCGGAAGCCTCCTGAACCTGGCAGATGACCTCTTCGGTGGAGGGGTTGATGACGTCGAAGGTCTTGCCGTCAACGGCCTTGACCCATTCGTTGTTGATGAAACTTGAAATATGTTAGTAGCTGCTTTCGTAGAGAAGGGATTGTTGGCTTCCGAAGAAAATCGGAAGCGCTCATTGTTACTCACAGACCGGTGGGCTGGTCGTATTCGCCCGTCTGAGGGGTCTTGAGCTTAACTGAGAGACCAGACATGATGATTGCTGTGCTCTGTTATCAATTAGGGTATTTTTAAGAGGGGCAAACGCGAAGAGCAGATTGTACGGCAGAAGGTGAGGGGTAGAGGGACGCGGAAATCTTAAGTACTCTTTGGCCATGCCAGCACGAAAGGAAGTCTCCACACTCGAGCACCCACACCCAGAGACTATCCCCTAACAGCCTCGGCCATGAGGAGCCAGTCCCAGGACGCTGAAGCGGCCTATCGCACGCTGCCGTACTGCAGCTCAGCGGCGCCCTGACGTACCGGCTCCAGCTCCTGCCCCGCTCTTTTGACCATTGAGAACCTACCCCTCCCCCGCAGGGCCTGCCCCAAGCCCTTCAACCGCCTCTTGGGGGCCAGATTGGGACTTTCGATCTAGCATTTGAAATCGACATATGCCCGTGCTAAGAAGCTTGTCGTGAACTTTACTGATCTTCGGCGTCAAGCGCATCACACCCGATCATCACTCAACAGCAGCCTTCCTCATTTTAGTGCTGGACACGATAGCGAAACGTGGCAACCCACCTTGCCACAATGCTAGCACCAAAAAGGCATCTTTCCTACTCCACCTTCGGCTTGCGCTCGAGCGAGCTGTCTTAGCTGAGCACCTTAGCACCACAGCATGTACGGGGGGAGACAGGGGGCAAGACGAGACGCCTAATGACATCTGGGTGCTGGCTTTCCATCCGAACGAACGTTTGCATCGGATGAGCGCATCTGTTTACCCCAGCAGCAGCAACGCGCGGGAAGCTAGAGCATGCGAGTGCCTCCAGCTGACTAGCTTATCGCGGGGAAAGCTTGCGGAAGCCAAACTAATCATGCTGGCGTGATACTCCGCACAAAAGGAGACTCTAGCTGCGAATAGAATTTAACAAAGAGACTGAATCGCGACAAGACTGACAAGCGGCATCCGTAGCCCGGCGGTGGTGTGATCCGCACGCTCAATGTCTTACCACATCTTACCACATCTTACCACATCTTAACCAAGTGCTTGAAAGCCGAACACTAGGCTGCGGTTATTAGGAGTTGCTTGCTTGCGGGGTCCTCCAGTACATACATCGGAACCGTTCCGCCTTCTTGGAGACGCGCTGAGCTGAGTGAGCAACGCAGATAACATACAATGACAGGGTCATCCTGGCACAACCGAAGCACTCATCGTATCATGTCTTCATAGTCCGTACAGGTTCATGCAGACCGGTGAACATCCGCTCATCTAACATCAAGGTAACAGGGCACTCGGCAGAACAAAGTAAGCAGGAAGAACGTGGGTGATCGAACTCAGTTAATTAGGCACTATTTTAGCAAAGTCAATCGGAACAAGAATCACGAACTTTGGATACAGTGTAGATATGGATCGCCGTCTGATTCTGTCTTGATTTAGAGCTACCTAGAACCTGGAGAACAATCTGGTTGGATCGAAAGAAAGCCGTCGTGAATAGTGTACAGAAAGGAGCCGTGTCGTGATCGGATCGTCGCCAGCAAGAAGAAGCCAGAGAAGTTATACGGTGGGTGTGGTGAATATAGACGCTCCCAAAGAAAGGCACAGAGTGTCAAGAGAGACTGATCTGAGCCGTGAACAATTTGTTGATCCGTAGCCGGGATGAAGCCAAGAAAGAAAGAGAGGGGATTTGGATGCTAGCTGTGCAGGAGCTCAGAGCATCTCGTCATCCATGGCGGTGTCACCAACGGCCGTTGTCGTCTGAACAACCTCTGCGCCGCCGGCGGCTACAACATCCGTGCTACCTTCGCCTGCAGGGAAGTAGTCGGCCATCTCGGCGTCCAATTCCTCGACGGTCTTCTTCTTGGTGCGCTCACGGGGGTTACGGCCACCACGTCCACCACGGGCTTCAGCACGTCCACCACGGCCACGACCTTTCCCAGCGGCAGCAGGGGCCGTCTTCGCGGCATTTGCAGGCTTAGGCTTGTCCTTCTTGGGTTGGCTGCAGGATGTCAGTCATGCCCGGTGCATTGAAGGTTAAAATACTTACGTGACGCGTTCAGCGAGAGAAGGCTGGGCAGCGGCAGCTCCGAGGTTTGCTGCGCTCACGAGCATCTCCACTCGGATAGGGCGACCATCGATCTTGACGCCGTTGAGCGCCGACGTGGCCTTGACGGCTTGCTCATGCTTGTTGAAAATGATGGTAGCACTGCCGAGGCTGCGACCGGTAGGGCCATACTGGAGGAGGACCTTCTTGGGCCGAACGCCGACAGCTGTAGCAAAGTAGTCCTATTAGGCGCATTAGTTGTCGTGACTGGAGTTTGTTTCGCGAAAGCAGAAGAAGACGAGTCCACCCAGGGCGGAGCGACAGTCGCGATATCCATGGTTCTGCAGTGGTGAGTGCCACTCGGAAAGTAGGTCTGAAGGACAGACGCAGAATGTGTTATGCAGCGGTGGCAGTTCAACGCAACAGGTGTCTGTTGAGCTCGTGTGCTGCGAGCCGAATCAAGAATCTGAGAGTGCTTTGCCCACGCCCACTTGATCTTGTTTGTGCAGCTCTCGAGATGTCCTGTTGGCTCGCTTGTGCTATGCCTTTCTTGTGCCACTTGGGCGGTGCCATGTACGCGGTCGGGAACGAGCGCAATGCTGAAACATCATTCTGGTACTTTCGTCGTTGCGACACTCCGGAATGTTTGCGTATTGCTAGTCTTATGCCAGTCGTGCTTGCCCAACACTGATCATGGTCTGACTTTTTGCAAATCGTTGCGAACAGACCGTACTTGGGACGGAGGAACAGCGTTGGTTTGTATGTCGGCTCGATCTCGCACATTGCGAAGTAAAGTAGGCTCAAAGACCTGCAATGGTCTGACATACCTGGAGCTGGTTCTGGTCGACATCGTGAGGCTGAAGAGAGTTAGCAAGTTGCAGGTCGTGCGTGTTGGTGGGAGTGCTTACGAGACCGCTCACGAGTATCTTGCCGTTTGTCTCTGGAATGACAGCGGCGGCAGGCGCGGCTTTCGGCTGTTTGGCAGGCCTGGTCGACTTGCCAACGCCACCTACGGGACCGGAGGGAGCTGGGCGAGCCGCATCTGAGCGACGACCGCCGCGACCGCGACCCGGACCCTTGGTTTGGCGCCTGGTCTTGAGGATGTCATCGAGGCTGGTGTCGAGCTTGGAAGACATGGTGATTTGATGGAGGTGGTAGTAAGGCGCGTAAGTGAGGCGCGGCAGTGTTGGGTAGTTTAGTGAAAGAGGTGGCTACTCAGTTGACGAGACTGAGGGAGCGTGGCCTGGCAGAGAACGTGATACAGACAAAGGGGCGCGCTGTTGTGGGGCGCAGCGCGTCAGAGCAAACGGGACTCGTGGGCTGAGAGTCGTGGATGGAGTTGCGCGTGTGTAGTGGGCTGAGCGCACTCGAGGACAGTCGTGGAAGTGATGGCTAACGAAGATGGAGTTGGGGTTGATGGTGGTGGAGTGGAAAGGAAAGGAAAGGAGGAGGGAGCGCAAGAGGGAGCAAACTTGGGAGGCAGCAGTCAGCGCGGCGGCGCTAACCCAACACAGCCACTAGCGCGTCGGCCTGGCCATGGTACCTGCCCCAAGCTTCTAGAGTGACGATAGCTCCTGCCGTCCAGGAAGCGGCGAGCATGGAACGGTAAGGGCAGTATGGCAGTCACTCCGGTAGGCGCTCGTGACCACGACATGACAACATGGCAAAGCTGACCCGAGAGCAGTGGCAGTTCAAGTTCTTTGACGTTGCGCAAGTCAAGCTACCCGATGAAGAGAGCTCATTCCTGTCCGAAGTATGCCATTGTCGCAGGCGCATATACAGGTGCTTACATCGTGTAGGTCGGAAACATAACGTCGATAGTCTCGGGTTCGGAGAGCATCTTCTTCGGCAGCGCAGATGGCATCGTGCGCATCGTGTCGCAGGCCTTCAAGGTCGTGCGCGCGTTCAAGGCACATGACACGGGTGCAATCAACTACATGAAGCAGATCGAGGGCACGTCGCTACTGGTTACCATAGCCGAGGACCTGTCGGACGAGCCAGTACTCAAAGTATGGGCTCTGGATAAGCTGGAAAAGAAGACGGGCATACCGCGCTGCCAGAGCACCCTGACCATCCACAACGGACGGAAGCAGTTTCCCATATCTGCATTCGCTGCGCTCGACGATCTCTCTCAGCTTGCCGTCGGCTTCGCAAATGGTGCTGTTACGGTTGTTAGAGGCGATCTCATACACGATCGGGGCGCCAGGCAGCGGACCGTTTTCGAATCTGAGGAGCCTATTACTGGGATAGAGTTCCGTGAAGGGAGCATCACCACGCTGTACATTGCGACAACGAACCGGATAATGACACTTGTGATATCTGGCAGGGGTCAAGGACAGCCAGCCAAGTCGCTCGACGAGTACGGCTGCGGGGTGGATTGCATGGCTGTCGACAAGACCACGCGGGAGGTCGTCGTAGGAAGGAGCGATGCCATCTACTATTACGGCCAACATGGCCGAGGACCCCCTTATACGTACGAAGGCGAGAAGAAGAAGGTGTCGGTGTACAAGGACTATGTCGTGATTGTTGCGCCCCCCAAATCAAACGCTATGCCACGGTCGAATCCATTGCGAGCTTTTGGCATTGGGGCTACTGACGATGTTTTCAACACATCGAGCTTTACCCTGCTCAACACAGAATTGCGGTTTGTGGCGCATCAGGAGCAATTGACGTCTCAAGTCAAAGCAGTCATATCAGAGTGGGGTGATTTGTTTGTCTTCACCATGGACGGAAAGGTGGGTTCACATTCGTTCTCATCGAGATGCGCTTCTGACAGCAATTAGATCTTTCGATATCACGAGAAGCCGTTTGCACAGAAGCTGGACATACTATACCAACGTAATCTGTATGTCCTGGCCATCAATCTCGCACAAAAGGCTGGATTAGATGCTGCACAACAGAATGTCATCCTTAGAAAGTTTGGCGATCACCTGTACTCGAAGCAAGACTACGACACAGCTATGCAGCAATACTTGAAGGCAATCGATAACACGGAGCCTTCTCAGGTCATTCGCAAGGCAAGCTCAGCGCAACCACTCTTTCTCCCTACGCTAACGCTACAGTAGTTCCTGGACACGCAAAGGATACACAATCTGATAGAGTATCTGGAAGAGTTGCACGACCACCACAAAGCGACGTCAGATCATACGACACTACTACTGAACTGCTACGCGAAGCTCAAAGATGTCGAGAAGCTGGAGGAGTTCATCAAGTCGCCCGACGACTTGAAATTCGATCTCGACACCGCCATTTCGATGTGTCGGCAAGGCGGTTACTACGATCAAGCGGCTTATCTTGCTCGAAAACACGGCGAGCACGAGCTTGTTGTTGACGTGCTTATCGAAGATTCCAAACGATATGCCGAAGCACTGGCATACATTTGGCGATTGGAGCCTGAGGTTGCCTACTTCAATCTGATGAAGTACGCGACAGTACTGCTACAGCACACTGCCAAGGACACTACACAATTATTTATCGACTATTACACCGGTAACTTTTGTCCGAAGAAGGACGCTATCGTGATACCAAACGCTCCAGCGACGCCGGGAGGGATAGGCATGGGCCTTGGTGTTGCATCAAGTGCCGTGCAGAACCTCGCCGCTCTGCTACCTCTACCATACATGAACACAAGTTCCGTGGCATCAACTCCCCTCAGCGAGCAGAAGAGTACAATGAGCCAAGCTCAGATAGTAGAGACGACTACGGACGAGCCTGCGCCTGAGTACACGGTGCCCAAGCCGCGGACCGCATTTTCGGCGTTCGTGGACCACTCTCAAGAGTTTATCGTATTCCTAGAGGCATGCATCGCGTCCGAGAACCTTCGCGAAGACGACAAGGTCGATCTGTACACAACACTGTTCGAAATGTACCTGCACACCGCATCATCAAAGAAGGATGGAGAGCGACAAGAGTGGGAAAACAAGGCCAAGAAGCTTGTGGAAGGAAGAGACATACCCATCGACACTTCGAATGTTCTGCTCCTCTCGCATCTCTCAAATTTCCGTGATGGGGCTATATTAGTACGCGAACAGCAGGGATTGCATTTCGATATCTTCCGCTCCTACACCGCCGCCAACGACACCCAAGGCGCCATCCGAGCGCTACGAAAGTATGGTCCCGAAGAGCCTGCACTGTATCCAGCTGCTCTTGCATACTTTACATCTTCGCCAGATGTCCTCGCAGAAGCAGGCGATGAGCTCGATAGTGTACTCAAGAAGATTGACGAGGATGGTCTAATGGCTCCCCTCCAAGTTATCCAGACACTCTCCACAAATGGTGTCGCAACAATGGGCATGATCAAATCATACCTCAGCACAACCATTGAGCGCGAGCGCTCTGAAATCGCATCCAATCGTCGTACCATCGAGACGTTCCGTTCCGACACTGAGACCAAGAAGAATGAACTACAGAAACTCAACACCAAACCCGAAGTCTTCCAAGCCAGTCGCTGCCAGGTATGCATGAAGACGCTCGAACTACCTGTTGTGCACTTCTTGTGCAAGCACAGCTACCATCGGAGTTGTTTGAGCACGGACGAAGATGTTGAGGATGCGGAGGTTGAATGCCCAGTATGCAGTGGGCAAAATGCTACAGTGAAGGCGATCAGACGCGCGCAGATAGAGAGCGCGGAGAGGCATGATTTGTTCCAAGATGCGCTCAAGAGGGGAAGAGATGGGTTTGCGGTCATTAGTGAATGGTTTGGGAGAAGGTGTTATGGGTGTAGCAAGTGCGGATTAGAGCAGAGTATGAGTACAAAGCTCTCCTGCTGCCTCCCTCTCCTTCCATAATTGAAGAGCGCACATATATACATGTCTACAATCTACTTTCCTGGTCAAACGTATTCGCTCCTAGTGACCATGATACATCATCGATAGCCAGAATTCAGTATGACATCGAATACACTGCTTGCTTCAAGACTTAGACAAATCGCTCTTCCCAAATCAATAGTAAACATACAACCTGCAGTCACGACTTAACACCACTAGGAGAGTGAATGACACACGGAGAACAGAGCTTTAGGTACGTACACTTCACACCTTTCATCCACTCACTCATACCTACCTACAGGTTGGGGGAATTGGGGGAGGTGAATCAGGGTACTTAGGGAGAGGAATAAAAGCGGGTATCATACTGAACGACCGATTGATTTGGGTCGAAGTCATTATAAGAGTGAGCGTCGTAGTACGACAGGTGCGGCATTGTGTATCCTGGAGGTTTCCGCCGCACGTTGCCCAGCATTTGGGTACCGAGATAAGCCAATGTAAGATTCTGGTGTCTTAGAAAGCTACTCATGGGTTGAGCAGGATGCCGTTACGGTTTTCCGAACATAGGCAGAAGATGGTGAATGTGTGGGAGAAATCTATGAGGTCGGTGCAGGTTCCAAGTTCACCACTGCATTTAGCGAACCAATCATAATGGAATGTGCAATGACCCACGATTTTCTCCCCCCAGTTTGCTAGTGACTCCTGCAATGCGATATAGCTGCGCACTTGAGCGACAACATCAAGTCCAGTGCCGATGATGCCTATACCGGACTGAATATTTGCCATCTCCTGTTGCCGAACTCACCCTGTCCACGCCACTTGGATCAGATATGCCTACATATCTTGTCAGACTCGCGCAAACGCACGAGAGCTTTCGCAAAGCTGAGCTGCAAGCTCTAGCAGATCTTGCTGGTGTTAAATTGGAGTTTATCAAGTACGATGAAAATGTGGGTATATGTATGCTGCGTTCCGCTGTCTTTCTTTTTGTCACCATTTTCTTTCCCAACACACACGTCTTCATCAGTCCTAATGTTCCTAGTCTCCATACTGCCTTGTGAACCTGGATTCCGATGCTGCAGCAAAAGCTATAGTCACGCGTAGTATGCTTGCCCAAGGGATCTACGAACTATGGGGCGAAGGTGCAAACTATGATGCACTTCACGAATCAGTCAAGAGCAATTCAATTTCGAAATGGTCGAAATATGACCATTCATCTTTCCGATTCACGGTTGAAGGCTACCAAGGCGGAAAGAACTCAGCTGAGCAGGGCGCCATCATCGACTCGTTCGCGTATCTCGGCTTCAAAGGAGCGCCACAGATGCGCAACCCTGATGTATCATTCCGCGTCTTCGAAAACTACGACTTGGACGTCAAGGTACCGAAGTACATGTACTTTGGGCGCTTCATTGCAGACTCTTGTCGCAATGAAGCGAAGAAGACGTATGATCTCAAGAAGCGACACTACATCAGTACTACTTCCATGGACGCAGAACTTACACTCTTAACCGCCAACATCGCACAAGTAGCGCCTGGAAAAGTGTTCTACGACCCGTTCATGGGCACTGGTGGCTTTCCAATCGCATGTGCGCACTTCGGCGCCATAGTATTTGGTAGCGACATCGACGGCCGCACGATCCGCGGGCTAGGAGGCAGCGCAAGAAGAGGACAAACAGGCAAAATGGACGTCATCGGCAACTTCAAGCAATACGGCCTCCTATCCAACTACCTAGGCGGCTTCGTCTCCGATCTCACAAACACTCCGCTACGAATCATTCCACGCGACAAGGACTTCTCCAAGGGCTACCTCGACGGCATCGTCTGCGACCCACCATACGGCATCCGCGAGGGTCTCAAAGTGCTCGGCTCGCGGCAGGAATTACTCGAGAGTGAACGCCAATCACACCAGGATCAGTACAAAGCACCGGGATACATCCCACCAAAGCGCCCATACTCCTTCACCGCGCTGCTCGACGACATCCTCGCCTTCGCCGTCGCGACGCTCGTCGACAACGGGCGGCTCAGCATGTGGATGCCGACGGCCAACGACGAGGACATCGAGCTCATCATCCCTTCACACCCATGCCTGAAACTCGAATCAGTCTGCGTACAAGCGTTCAATAAGTGGTCGCGGCGCCTGCTTACGTATCGGCGGCTGCGCGAGGAAGAGGTGCCTGAAGGTGCGCTGGAGATGGTCAAGAGGGAGTATGAGAAGGGTACGAGGGCGAGCGATTTGAACGATTTTAGGAGGAAGTATTTCCAGGGGTTTAGGGAGTTTAATAATATGCGGTCGGAGATTCAGAGGATGAAGATGGGGGAGGGGAAGGTGGAGGCGGCGAATGGGACGGAGGCGAAGAGTGAGGATAAGGAGGTGGATGAAGCCCCGGAGAAGAGTGTTTGATTCGATGATATCAAGCTGAGGCGTATCAGCCTGGTCTTCTTATAAGCCGCTCAATCGCGTTGCTGGTAATACAGCCCTCTCGTGGTCCAATATCCTAATTGTTGTTACAAGGCTCCATCTGCAAATAGGCCATGCCCTCTAATTGTCGCGTCTAGCAATGACCAAAAACATGCAAGGGCCGGGCATGACTGAACAGCTTAGACTTGCGTGAAAGGATTTTGACAGGACAGACGCCAGGACTGAGCGGTGGCCCGGGTCGAGCTTTAAGGGGAGGCGTATTAGCAGTACGGCGGTTGGTGTACATCTCGTGAGCTCGGAGTTGTGCGTTCATGGTTGATTGACAGATGCGTTGAGTGATTTATCGATGATGAGTCGAGCGAGAGAGTTCCTTGGTTGGGGAGCGTTTAGGAGTACGAGCGCTTCCATGTGGTAGTACTTCTAGGTCCAGAGGCACATAGCTTTCACCCACAAACTTTCACCTTCACCATCCACCAAACACGCGGATACCATGACCATCTTTCAGCTGTCATCTTCGTCATCATCCTCATCATAATCAGCATCCCTATCTCGATTTGATATCGCCTTCTCCTCGGCTATCTTCTTCAGCAATCTCAACAACCTCTGCTCATCATCCTCCTCTCTTTCTTCTATCAGCGTCGTGATGGTTTCATGCTGCGCCGCCACCAATTCTAGGTAGTCTACACACAGTGTTTGCACGTCTTCCAGTAACCCTTGAACTACTCATTATATGAATCAATGCAACACATTAATTGAGAAGAGAGACTCTGCGCGGTCAACTCTCTGCGGCTGATTAGGCGCTCTTGCTCCTCGATTAACGCGTCTTTGGTCTTTTCGCTTGCAAGCAGCTGTTGGATTTGTGTGTCGGTGGAGTCTAGGTGGGGAGGTTGTAGAAGTATCCTGCGGGTGCAGCCTGAGGCGAAGATGGCAGCAGACGCGGAGATGAGAGAGGGCCAGGTTGGTGTGAAGGCGGGCTTGGTTGGAGTAGGGAGTTGATTCGTGCTTATAGAGCATCGTTGGATGTGTGAGGCAGTACGGCGAGCAAGTCGCGGAAGAAATGACATATATGGCGGCATTCTTGCGCGAATTTGATTTCAATTCAATCTATGATATGTTCCCTGTTGAAAACAATTGCACCGCACGCTTCCAAAGTTGCTGCGATCAAAATTCGTTTAGATCAGGTATTCGGTACGGTTTATTGATTCAATGGGATTGATGTCCAACAGCCGTGTTAATCTGCTCGTGATGGAAGCGCAGACGAATTGATCTTGCGATTGGTCGAACAAGGTGTAGTGGAGGTCACGGCGTGGGGTTGGAGTGAATGATGCGCGTAGGTCGATGTCCGTGCGCAAAGATGCCGAACAATTTGGGGAACAAACATCTGAAGCAGCAATGCTCGCCAGAGCTCGCCCCTCAGCGGACCCTGCATTATCTCTTCTGGTCGATATAAGCAAATGAGGTGACATCCAATTGATTAGTCACCAACAGTACCGGAAACACGTGCACCGCCTGGGGTGAGCAGGCGTTTTCGCAATGTCCCTCCTCCGCCCATCTTGCGCCACCCTTGCACGCCGACTGTGTACCGCCCACACACAGCTCGAGCACGCTTCAAGATCGCCTGTCCTCGCCCTACTGCAATCATACCGAAAGTCGCGACCACAATGCCGGTCATTCCATACCACTCGTCGCTACATGGCCAAAGTCATAGACACACCAGCAAACCCCACATTGCCACACGTTCCGAAGCGCACAGTGCGGATAGGCCCATTACCAGACGGGAGGGTAGACGATAGAACGGTCAGAAGGATATTTGGCTCTAAACTATCCCCAGCTGACGCCAACAATGTGCTGCGAATACTACATCACCGCCGGACAGCAGGGTCATTGGCCGATTATGGCGTGGACAACCTGGGCAAGCAATACACACACGTGAGCCGAGAGACGGCTCTGAAAGGACTGGAATGGCTACGCGAGGTATACCCTATCGACGAGGCGCGAGCGGCCGAAGAGTGGGCTGAGAAGGAAGCAAACCGCATACAATACGAGCTGTGGTTAGCAGACCCAGAGACAGAGTCCAAGTACAAGGACCCCGCGCGAGCCTTCAAGGAGCAAATGCAGAAGGAAGAGGAAGAGCGACAGCAACAAGAACGAGACGAGCGGAAGATTGGCATACTACACGCCGGCAAGTCGCAGTTCGAGCGCAACATCGAAGAGAAGCGCAAACAGCGATTGGAGGAGATCACGCGCGTGGCTGAGGAGAAGGAGGAGAAGGAGCGCGAAATGGAAGAGAAGCTTGCGACCGGCGAATGGGTGAAAACACCCACGGGAAAACAGCTCATGAAGCCAGGCCAATCCACATATGTCGACGTCTTTGGGCGGGAAATGGTCAGCAGGCGCAAACGAAGAGCAAGAGAAATACTCAGCAGAAATCGCTTTCGGGATTCGCCTCTGAGGAGGAGATGCTGTCAAAGACCACCTTGGGTAACTATGTCCTTCCTATCCATCCCGACTTCGATACTAACACCACCCAGGCCCAACGACTCTACCCAATGACCGCCTTCGTCCTCTTCACCGTCATCCTCAGCTACGGCTTCGCGCACTACTACCTCCCCCCATCGCCCTCGTACCGCCTCTTCCCCGACGTCTCCCCCTCAATCGCCACACTCGGCGCCCTGCTCGTCATCAACGGTGCCGTCGCGATAGCGTGGCGCATCATGCCTCTCTGGCCGCTTATGATCCGCTACTTCATGCACGTTCCCGGATACCCGCGCGCCGTCCAGTCCGTCCTAAACGTCTTCAGCCACGTCCAGTACGAGCACTTGCTTGCCAACATGATGACGCTGTGTATTCTTGCGCCCGCATGCCACGACCTCGTCGGCAGGGGGACCTTCCTCGGCACATACATCTCCGCAGGCGCGGTCGGTACGCTGGCAAGCTTGTACTGGGCGAATCTCGGCAGGGGGGTCATTTCGGCGCATTCTGTGGGCGCGAGTGCGGCTATTTGGGGCATTGCGTCGCTGTTCCTACTGTTGACGGACAAGGAGAAGATTAAAGTCCCGTTCCTAAAGGATGTGGAGTTCTCGTTTTGGCCCAAGATGTTGTTTGTGGCGTTTTTTCTGGTCGAGCTTAGGACGGCGTTTTCGCCAAAGAACGCTGATGGATCATGCGAGTCATTTTGGAGGCATGGCGGTGGGCATTGCTGTTGCGGGGTATTTGCGCGCCACGGGCTTTCATGAGAAGAGGCTTGGGGCGGAGGCGGGAGTGCAGGAGAGAGCGGGCGTAGATGACAAGACTGTGGATGCAGGTGCTATGGCGAAAGAGGGCTTGAAAGAGGTCAAGGATAGCTTGACCAAGAGCTCGAAGTAACATGGCCAAGGTGATGTTGTAGGATACTGTATATACATGTACAAACACCGCCTTTCCGATACCCAAGTCAAGTATTATACAACCGTCTCCGTCTCCGTCTCCTTGCTCAACTCGTTCCATCAACTTTCATCAAAACCCCCATATTCATGCCCACCACCAACCGCACCATATCCCAATCCCCTCCCTCGCCCACAAAATCCATAACCACAACCCCCGTCCCCGCATCCCCATCTCCCTTCCTCCTCACTCCAGCCATCTCATCCCCCAAAGCATGCCCCCCACACAACCACTCCTCCATGCCCTTATTCACCCTCCCCGCGATAACCCCTGGCCAACACCCCCTATTCCAAAAATTGCTCGCGGAGAGAAAATTCAAATACAGCGGGCCCGGCGGCACAGGATTTGTCCTATCTGTCGTGACGCCCGGAATATGATGTTGACACGCCGCCGCGCGCACAAGGTGCGCGTTGACGTGTTGGATTTTCTCGGGGGATGCTGGTGGGCTGCATGACTTCGCAGAAGATCTTGGAGGCAGAAGACAGGGTTGGGGTTTGGGGAAGAAGGGCGTGTGAGGAATTGTGCGGCCAGGGGGTGGCGTCCAGGCCGTAGGTGGGTGTGGGCGAGGCGTAGCGTCTGACGAGGACGAGTTTGCTGCGGACGGCGCCGAGGTAGGGGATAGTAGGTGATGTATACCACTGCGAGGCGTTGGGGCCGATGTAGTGCTCCGCGAGGATGTGGGCGAGGTGCTGGTCATGTGGCGGAGCCGACGCCCTCGCGCTTGAGGGACATCAGTATGGTCTTCGTGGGGTTGGCCAGGCGAGGAAGGTGTAGCATGTTTGCAGGATGGGGGCAAAGTATTTGGGGCCGGTGAGGCTGTTGGGGAACGCACCGTGTACGAGGAAGAGATCTTTCTTGGTTGGGTCTGTGGCATGGACGGGCTGGAGGCGTATGTCTAGGAAGCGGATACCTTGATCGAGTTGCGTCTCAATGTCGGCCACTTGACAGCGGACGGAGGGGAGAGCACGGTAGTGTGCGTGCGAGTTATGTGTGCCTGGTATACTGATGGCTGATAGAGGGAGAGTGTCTGGTAGCGTGGACATCCATTTCTTGTAGTCGACCAGGTGGTTGGCATGTATGGCCAGATGAGCAGTCGGCCTCGAAGGATGGAATAGTGCTGTATAGGTCGATGATGAAGCCTGATGTCAACGGTGTAAAGGCTTGTGATGACTTTTGGGTGTATGAAGGGTGAGTATCAATACGATGTCGGGAGCCTTTAGCATCCTCAATGGTAAGACGCAGCGTGATTTTGGCTGCTGGCAATTCATCGCCATCGTTCTTAAGTGAATCTTGCTGATCTATAGTATGTGACTCGTAAGGTGCCAGCGTTATGCTCACATCAAGACGTTTGAAGCTCCCAGCATGTTCTCCCAGCTTGGGTGCTGATGGAATTGCGGATGTAATGTTTCTCGAGCGGAATAAGTACCCACTAGGTTTACTTTGTGCCGTATTGGGGTCTTGGAACTGCTCGATCCGTTTAATGGAAAGCGGTGCCGATGTGAGATTTCGCACTCCAAGAGAAGTCGACATTGCTATTTGCTCCAAAATCAAACTCTTTCCAATGCAGAATGGGCCCGGCAGTCCTAGCGAATCTAGTCCACTTGTAGATCCAAAGCTATCTCCTGCACGTTGCTCCGCAAAGCTAACAATACCTCATCTGCTTCTACAGATAACAAAAGGGCAAATGTACCAGATGGTATACTGCGTTAAAAGCGAGAGAAGGAGAGGAACATCAAGTGGTCGACCCATGAATGTTCGTCTTGATGCCAAGGTCGCGCTAACCGGTTGAAGACGCGACCTCGACGCGTAACCATGTGCCCAAAACACAAGACACGTTGTAGTCATTTCCGAGTGACTCTACAACTTCAATTGTTCATATCAGATCAGGACACACGCACATTATGAACATTGAAGAGGGTTAGGGAACCGTATGTCATTGACCGCTAACAAGAGCCTAAGCATGCGGCCTCAGCATCCTGTAGGAATGAAACATTGAAGAATGTACCCATCAACTCGGGTATCATACAATCGGACTGAAAGATGCAAGTCAAGAACGAGCACTACTGGTACAAAACCCCCCACCTCTAAACACCTAATGCGCATTCGAACCTAAACTGCGAACAGTGGGAAACTCTTTAAACACCCGGCAATGCGATCGCTACTAATCAGAAAAAATGTGACCCATGTTCTTAGGCACGGAGGGTGGGTGTACAATCTCGTTCCTCTGAGAGCTTGCGGTAGAAGGACGTGAATTGCTCGTTGGTGAACAGCCAAATCCGAACTTCTGTAGTTCCTCCTCGCGTAGCTGATCACTAGCAGTGCGATTCCTTGTTGGTGTGAAGCCTTCCACCACTGGACGCTCGAGTACGTGATTGTTTCGATGGTTTGTATCCGACAGTTCTGCCATGTGATAGCCTTTCTTGATGACAGTGAGCTTGGATTTCCTGGGGGTATACGGCCGCTTCCCAACATGTATTGTGTCGTCAACGTTCTCTTTGGGCACAGGCTGGAGCTTTGCGTCGTATTCGGACTTGACGAATGTTGCAGCGGGCTTGGTGGCCTTGGACAACGGCTTGCCCGCAAGTTTGGCACTTCTTTTAGTCGCCTTGAAGACAGCGTTGATACCAGGAATTTCTGCATTGGTCTCCTTCTTTGCTCTGCTCTTGCCCACGGTTGCCTTCTTGGGTTGGGACTTCTTTGCAGGTGCTTTCGCTGCGACTTTGCCGAACAAATCCATCTGGGCGTCCGACTTTCGCTTTGTCCCCTTCTTCGACGGAGTAGGCTGCTCTTGGGCCATCGTCTGTGGGAAGATGCGAGGACTTTGCCCTGGAGTGAGATGTCCTGCATTCCTAATGACGCCGGGCTTCCTCGGGGTGCCAATGATGACCTCTGCCCTCTGCTTCTCTTTAACCTTGCTCACATCGGCGTCGGTAACCTCCTTGTAGTCCATTAGGTCATCCCACTTGCGCATGTTGGCGTGACGCGCGACCTCGTCGCAGGGTCCCTTGACCACTAGGTCCCAGACGTCTTCGAGTTCCTTGCCCAATGGCTCCGGGTCGTTGTTGATCCAGACTGCAACGCCGTCCTTTCTGTCCCTTACGATCTTGCACATTTCACGGGCGATCCTGCGAACACCAGGTACCTTCAGAGTAGTTCCTGCTACAATGACCGCGTCAGGGCGCAAACGCATATCGGCAGCTGCGCATGATCCAATCGCTTCGTCGTCGGGATTGTGCTCGTTGTAGAGTACCATGCGCGGGCGAAGTCTCCCGATGCCGTGACTACGCTTGTCTGCCACCAGGCGAACGTTGTCGTTTTCAACGCACGTGGGGCATGGGGGCGGTGTTGGTCCACTGAACATGTCGGCATCGAATGGCGCTAGGTCATGGCACTTGGAGCAAACCATGTAATCGAGGCCACCATGTACCTGAACGGTCTTGGGCCAAGGTCCCTTCTTGGGGAAGGGAATCTGGGTGCTCAGCGGTGGCAGCGACGTGTCGATGCCGTCGACATTTTGGGTATACAGTCGCATGAGCCGGCCTTCCTGGGCTAGTGTTGCGAGGAGATGATGAAAAGCAGTGGGCTGTGCAGACTTTGTGTGTTGCGACAGAGTGCGTACCATGTCGTGGAATGTCGATGTGGAGTTGTCATCTTGGTAGACAGACGCGTCGAAAAGATCCTTGCCCGAGGACTTGAGTTTGTGCTCCTTCTTCAGGCTGTTGAACAGACCTGTCGCTGATCGGAAGTCGGGAATGCCAGCCGACACGGAGATTCCTGCGCCAGCGATAACCACAATCTTGCGCTTCTTGTGGAGAACGTTGAGTAAGCGCTGTAGCTGCGGCTGCTCGTCCTCATCGATCTCCGCGTTGGTGAGGTCGAGGCGCTCGGTAGTGCGCTCCTTGGGGTCTGCAAGCTTTCTCTTCTTGCGAGGGGGCGCGCCATCGTCGTTGCTGGATGACGGCGAGGGCATGTCTTCTGGCACAGGAGAAGTCTTGGTGGATGATCGACGCGAAGAAGAGGGCGACAGGTACGGGCGCCGTTTGGCGAACGAGCGGTCCGTGTCGCTGGGAGGTGTAGGTGACCGAGAAAGAAGAGAAACCTCTGAATCGGACGCGTCTGAAGGGATGGGACTGCTCAAGGGCGAGCTCGGCCCGTTATCTAGGCAGAACGACATGGTGAAGGGCAGGTTCTGACGTGAATGCCTCGGGTTTACGACAATAGGAAGGGGCAATCGGCCGTCGTGGGTAGGTAGACTCGGTGAGGAGCGTGAGATGCACCTTCCAGCCAAGGGATGGTCCGCGCACGCGCTCAGGCCAACATGTACAGCACGATAACAGAAGTCGCAAGCATGTACTGCACGTATATACACAGACTCTTGGCTAGCGGGCGTCGTGCTGGGGGTGGATGGGGGATCGTAAAGTTGATCGCAGTGGTGGAAGCTGGGCTGTGGGTCGTGCCGTCACCGCCGAGTTGCCTGCTGTCCGGGCGACTGATTGCGTGGGGATGGGAGCGGCGCTAGGGCATCGTGACGGAAAAAGAAAGCGCGGCTGTTATAGGGAAGGTGCGCGTTTGCGGCAGGCGCGGTCGCGTTGTGAGCGATGAAGGTGAACGGGCGTGGTAGTGGTCGCGAAACGGGGAGGTTGGCAACAGAGGGCACCCGGGACACCTCGAATGACAATGCCAAGGCTGCGAACTGCAGGCCCAAAACACAGTGGGCTTCCGTCTGTTTACCTACGGGAGACTAATGCTAGTCTGACCGTGCAATAGCTGCAATAGCCCGCGTCTCTGGTCACAACAAGGAACAGTCCCAGACAGTGAATGAATTCTCCACGCACTCAAGAGCGCATCGAAGTCTTTGTTCTTTCGGCTTTGATTGAGCATCGCATTACATTATTGCTGCCAGCGGAAGCCACAGCGCATCGAGCCACGCAGTTGGGACATGCGACGCTCTATGATGACTTCGGCACCAAATTGCATCTGTCTTCAATCGCCACGCACGTAGATGGCAGCAGCATGGAACTCGCACGTCATGATGTTCAACCCCCCAGTGCATGCCTGCGCAATGTGGTTTGTGCCCGTGTGGTGGGCGAGATGCACGAAGCTCCCACGAACGATACACGCCACGCCAATCTGGGAATGCATCCTTAGCGCCTCGCTTACTGCCGTTGGCCCATGTTGTCGCAGGTCGAGTCCTAGCCTCAGGAACTCGTGCTTCACGCTCACCGTGCCTGAGAGCCTAGCACTCCTCTCCACTTTTTCTTTCGCGTGATACCCGACGTTTGCTTCGTCACCCAGATTCCATCTGCGCAGTTGATATCTTCTCACTTTAGCCTCATTTCCTTGGTACCTCTATGCCAGCCACGGAACGAGGCGCCTTTGTCAACCATGGATGCAACATATAACATGGACGTTGATGACCTGTTCGGCGACTCAGAAAATGTAACATTACAGGCCATCAATGTTGCCTCACCTGTGAAAGGACTCTCCAAGCGCATTGATGAGCTCGGCGCAAGTGGATGTTGCCAGTAAGATCACTAGGAATGGACATGATTATCAAGAGCGCTGTTAACGTCTTACAGAAAAATTGCGTGGTCAAAGAATGGCTGCGTGGCATACATTAGCCCAGATGGATACACAGCCAACCTCAAAGTTTTCTCTCGAGACACGGAGACTGGCAAGTGGGATCTAAGAAAAGATGTACCCCTTGACGTGCCGCAAGGGCGCGAGCAGTTCCCTTTTGTTCACCTTTCATGGAGTCATCTAGGCAACGACCTTGCGCTCATGGATGCGGCTGGCCGAGTCATGGTCTTCTCGTGTGCAATGGCTCTCGACCGGATGCAATTCATCAGAGCAGAACTCGCACACCCAGAAGCCGAAGTGGACGGGGTCGTGGGTATGCACTGGCTAGCTATACATCCATATGAGGCAAAGGTAAGAACACACATTGTCAACGATGCCAACCACCTGACACAAGCGCAGAACAACATTGCCTGGTCAACAACACGCGATGGCAATAAATGGCAATGGCATGTCAAGTCTCACATGTTCAACGATGCGTTCCATCCTCTCGACGGAAAAGCATCACTCATCTATCTCAAGAGACACGGAGAACTCAAGCTACGATTCCAGCAGAACGACAGCAGCTGGCAAGAGGTCTCGGCCCAATCGGCCCCGCTCATGTCGACCAAAGAACCATTTACGCATGCCGCATTTTCTTCTAACAATGACGCAACTCTGCTGCTGGTAGCCTACGATGTCGCGCGGCGACTTCATCTTTATCGCGTAGAGATAGTATGGAATGTCCCACAGGATAAGCGCAATGCGAATGCAGGGCCTTTCGACAAACCGGTACTGAACGTCTCACTCCTCAGCATTGAAGACGACTGCGATCCCATCGGCCTGATAAATGGTGATTTGAGAGGTGCAGCTGCTGCGCAGCTTACGCACCTCAACTTCCTACCGACCACACCTGAAGACGGCGATGGTTCTTCGCCTACAATACAAGCCATCTTTTGTCGCCCCCCTAATATCATTTCATCAGATCAACTGCAGGAGAACCCTTACAGCGTGATAGTACGGTGGGGAGTACGCCACATACAGCAGACTCAATTACACTCGAGCCTCGATCAGGTCACCTCGAAGAAGAAAAGTGTGGGTTCAATCAGTGCCAAAACTATCTCCAAGCTAGACCGCCAACCTGACTTCCCGCTACACTCTGTAGTTCTTGCGACCTACCCTTTGTGGTATAATATGCTCCTGGCCTTTAGCTACAACGATGGCACAATCGAATTCCGCAAACGGGGGACCATGGAGGTCATCATGCCTGACGGCAACACTGAGACCATGACTTCGCTGCTACAAGCTGGCTTTGCGTTCCCACACGCTGAGCCATCCTTGCATGTCGCCTTGTCACCAAGTCACTGCATAGCTGTATGCATGCAGCAAGATGGCACTATCAAACTCCGATCAATGGAGTATCTAGCAGGCGGTACACTCTCTTCGGACGATGACGATCCACGACACTCGGCCGCTCTGGCAGCACTTGTGCTCCAGTCATCATCTGCAGCAAACCAGTACTACTCGAGTGATGACGTCTTCAGCATCATTGGCTCACTATCAGAGAAGCGCACAAACGACTTCATTGACCTGCTGTTCGATGGCCTCCAGGTCAACATCGATTGCGGAGTTCATGACCAGAATGGCCAGCACTTGGTCTTACTAGGTCGCTCTCCTTTCTTTGTCAAAACTCTCTCCGCTATGAACTTGCTAGGTCTACATGGCCCAGCGAACCGTAGCCTAAGCAGCAAAATAGCTTGGATCAATCTGAACATCAAGTATATCACACAAATCTTGACGACCATCATGCGGATGCACGGTAACATTGAGAAGACATCGCTCCGTCCCGAAGTCGTACCTCAGTTTATCGGTATATGCAGATGGATACTGCATTTCATGGCCTATTTGATGGACGACCTGTTCACCATTGGCCGCGCCATCCAGGATCTCCCCTCGCAGTCTCTCACACGCGAGACCCTCGAGCAAAAAATGCACGCCCTCAACAAGCCCGCTGTTCTAATCCTCCTCTCCGCCTTTCCCCGCGCCATGATGAAACTCTGGCACCAGCCTATCGGGTGGGTAAAAAAATCAGCGGAGACCCTTGCCGGCTCTGCTGGTCCCAACCAACCCCCGATCAGCCTGGATATTCGGAAACTATACACGCCTCTGTACTCCGCCGTCAACGAAGTTCCCTTCGATTACCGCTGGTTTGACGGGCTCGTCAACGACACGCACAACCACGTGCGTGCCGCTTACAAGCGCGCGAACCTCACCGACATCCAGCGCAACCATATCGAGCGAGAGCTCATGCTCGGCCACATCCCCGAGATCCTCGCACCCATTGCAAAGCGCCTCGTCACCGATACGCTATGGAACGACAAATCCGGCAACGGCTGCCTGGCCGATAAACTCGATATGGGGCGTCTCATGTTCTTCGACACCACGTGGCTCGGGTTCAACGAAAGCAAGCGCGCCAGCGAATGGCACGACACACATGTCGTGGACGTGTGCCAGAAGATGATTGTCCGAGGAACGGGCAAGCAGGAACATCCGGTTACGGGGTCGGGCCAGCAGATGAGGGGGAGGAGTGATAGTATTCAGAGCACGAATGGCGAGACAGTGTTGGGGAAGAAGAAGGCTCAGTTGAGGCAGTGCACGAGGTGCGGTGCGTATATGGAGGATGTGATGCAGGGCACGCCGGGGTATACGCCGCATCATGCGAGTTGGTTAATGGGCGTGGCGAAGCATTGCGTTTGTGGGAATAGTTGGATGTTGGCGCCGGATAAGATGAGGGCGAAGTGAAGAGTCGATAGTGGAATATTCTTTGGGTAGTTATGACCTTTTTTTGAAGGGTTAAAAAAGGATATCTCTACGGTCAAGGCAATCTGAAGTCTGGCAAGTGTTCAACATGTTTCTTCACAGTCCGTTCTTTATCAACATGCGCGCGTCTTAAATAACTGTTCACCTCCATCTCATTACAAGCATAAAATCTATATCTACCTACGCTCTAAAAACACACGGCAACGAACCCTCAATCATTGCTCCCCCCCTAATTGACAACCCTCCTCATACTCGCCGCCTGCCGCGGCTCAATAAACAACGCCTCCGCCTCTGTCAACACAACCGCCTTCTCGCCCTCCGCCACCAACGTCTCCAATCTGCCCTTAACCCACGCCTTCCTGCCCTCGACTTTAATCGTCTCCGCGCGCAACACCACAATCTGCCCAGCCATGCACGGCGCCTTGTAATCAATCTTCAAACTCGCCGTCACGCCCACTTTATTCGGCAGCGCGGGGAAACAGCAGCGCGCGAGCCCTTCGTCCAGCAGCGTCGCGAGCAGCCCGCCGTGCACGATGCCCGGATGCCCGCAGAGCGCCGGACCAAGCCATTGAAACGAGACGTATTCGCTCCCATCCTCAGTTGTAAACTGCAGCGGCGGAACAGCAATCTTGTCCGGCCCCAAGAGCGTGCCGCCCGTCAGATTCTGCGCGCGCAGTTTCTCCGGGATCTTGAGGTGCGGGCGCGAGGCGATGAATTTGGGGTTTTGCAATAGGCTTTTTACTTCTGCGTGGGTGAAGATGGAGTCTTCGATTAGGGCGATGTCTGGGGAGGGTGGGGTGAAGAGGTCGAGGGTTTCGGCGTCCGTCGGGGGGTTGGCGATTTCGCGCAGGGAGGAGAGGGCGGGGGCGCCGGCCATGGTGAAGCCTGCTGTGAAAGCGAGGAGGGTGAGGGCGAGGGCGAGGGGGGCACGGATGAGGAGTGGTTTCTTGGGGGGTGGTGGTGGTGGTGGTGTGGAAGATTGACTTGATTGCGATGCTATGAGGTGTATGAATTAGCTACCGTATAGTCCATTGAAGTCTTGCATAGAAGCAATGGATAAGGAGAGACACTTACAAACACTACTCTGCCACCTAATTGTCCTATTCGTATTCCGATTGCTACCGGTATACCCAAACCGCTTTGCTGCTCCTACATCCTTTATACTCCGTCCACTGCACCGGCCGACCTCGCGCGGACCCACATGTCTCAATACGGCGATCCTTGCGGACGACATGGCTATGCGGAGCGCCCAGAAGCAAAGACTTTTCTGATCCGGGGCTAGGCAAGTGTTCCGCGTGTGTGTCAAGTCGGTGAAAAGCGAACGGACAATGGAGGATCAGAGGCTCCGTGCATGTGGGGAGATGTGCCGAGGTTCAAGACGTTGCGCGGTTGGACAGTTACGAATTGCGATTTTTGAGAGTTTGGTACGTTGTTCGGCCGATTTAATAGCTCAGGGGAAGGAGACGTCAGAGTTGAACGTGTATGATGGGAATTCCAGTTTTTGTTTTTGATTGCATTGCACTTCACAACCTCCACTAGTCAAAGCTACGCAGGTGGATTGAGATATATAGCATTTCTATACACCCGATCCAATCATTCATTCCCCCTCCCTATACACGTGCTCGTAATCACACATGTTCATCCTCTATCCCGTCGTCCAAATACTATACATACAGAGTGGTGAAGTGTGTCATCATGCCATGCGCCAGGCCAACCGCGGCGCTCATCTACCCGCTCCGTGAATCAAAAGAGAAGAATTACCCATGCGAAGATGGGAGATAGTAAAACATGAACGTAAAAAGTCGGTCATAGGACCTTTTGGACGCCAGAAGATGCCGGATACAAAGGTCGCGAGCAGGAAGATGCAGCAAAGAAGTGTGATGGTACATGGTACAGAGGAAATAGCGAGTCGATCAATAGTAATCCCTTGCGCTCTTCTGAAGTTCAATCAGTCTCCACCCGCGTGTTTCGGGGTTGTTGACGTCCTCGGGTATCCTGGTGACACCGATGGCGTATGTGACTTGCTGGACCTTGTCGTCCATGCCGGATGCCAGCTCTCCAGACTTGGCGTTCTTGTAGACGTGGACCTCCTGGGTCCTACAGGTAAGGATGAAGACTGGAATTTCACCGGGCTCGAGCAGCTTAGCATTCAGGACGTCGACGCCTCGAATGTCGACGATCTTGCCGTCAGACTTGAGTCCAGCAGCTTGGTATTGCTGCATCAACGCCGCGTACACCGAGTACTGGGCCGCGGACAGCCACTGCTTCAGCACCTCGATGTCACCCTTTACGTAAGCGTCCAAAACTTCTGGGAGGATGTATTCGCGCATCTCGGTGAGGAAAGGCTCCATCTGGAAGTTGGGGTCCATCTCACGGAACCTCTTGATGACCATGGCGGTCTCGTTCTCGGCAAAGAAACCTGTGATGCGGTCGGAAATACTACGAGCAGTCTGGATAATTGCGTTGTCGGACTCGTTGTAGACGCTCTTCATGCTGAAGAAACCCTGGGCGAGCTTGGAGTTGTCTCTTCCACTCGCGCCAAATCTCCTTGTACTTGGCGTCCTTGTGGAGCGTGACGTTTGTGCCCGCGCTGCTGGTTGTTAGCCGAGTCACAGCTGTGTGTTCTGCATGACATACTCAGGGTCCTCCTCCATGGGTCCGGTGGGTTTGCCGCCAGTCCTTTGGAGCTCATTGAGCTCCCGAAGCTCTCTTCGCTTCCTGCGCTCCTCCTTCTCAACCCAGCCACCGTATCTCGATGAGCTGCCATCGTCGATGGTTTCCTTGACTGCCTGGAAAGCCTTTGTCTGTCGTACAGGTCGCGTGGCGTATTCGAGACCAGACGCTGTAACTCTAGTCGCAGCTCGAACACCCTTCACAGGCATGGTGTCCCATGTCCATGCCGCGCCGGAGCCCACTGCGCGTCCAGTGGCCTTCAGAGCCTGTGCAGTCTTGGTCTTAGCCTCATCCGAAAGCTGCTTCGCCTTCTGGACTTGTGGGTTCTGGGTGAAATCGTGGATCGAGCCAGAAAGCTCCTTGGTTCCCTCGTTCCATTCTTTCGACGCCTGGAACTCCTGCTGCAGAGTCTCCGTGAAGACCTGCCATGGTGTCTTGTCGCCGTGGGGCGGTGGTGCGGGGGCGTCCTCCTTCTTTTTCTTCTCTCCCTCTTCGCCCTCTTTTTGTTCGCCAGCCTCTTCCTCGCCGGCCTTCTTTTCCTTCGCCTCCTCTCCGTCCTTGGCCTGTTCACCTGTGGCCTGCTCTGCGGTGCTGCCGTCTGCAGGCTTTTTAGCATCCGTTTTAGCTACAGGATCCTCCTCCTTCATAGGCTTCTGTTTTTGCGCCTGCTCATGGAGCGCATGCTGGGAAGAAAAGTGGCGGGTATATGTGGATGACGTGCGGAAGAGGATGTCTTGCGGGAGGAATTGGCTACGCAGAAAGGGTTGTGGCAATGCAGAAGCCGATCCAGTCGTCAGAGATGACCGTGAGCCAAGCGGCGAAGTTGATAACCGTCTGTAGGCAGCTGCCCGTCCATAGGCGGCGGATGATGTAGTGGCCGCATGTTGTATGCTTCCTCTCGCTCGGGCGAATGTGGTTGCTGGTCTCATCTTCCTCCCACTACAGGTTATTAATCAAGACAAATGTCGAGTTAGGACCGGCGCCAATGATGTAAAGCAAAGTTTGGGCGCGGTGACGATGTGGGTAGAGTGTTGCCTCTGCTCGGCAATGCCCATCTTTTTCCGCATCGGAGGGCACGGACCATATCGCAGAAAGTTGCGATTCGAGCGACTTCCACGCCCTCCGCCAGCCCTGCGATCCGCCATTGAGGGCACCAAGTCCCGCATCGCTGTCCGCCATGTCACAGAACACTGCACTGCGCGCCTTCCGCAGCGTCACATCCACATTGCGCCCAGCATGCCGCTCCCTCCAACCTGCGCGATGCCTATCTCAAACCACGAGCACACCCGCACCACCTCCCCCATCGAGAACTGTTCCTCCGCCGAAGCAACAGCTGGGCGGACTCGATTCGCTCATGACATCGATCGGTGGCAACTTCCAACGCGCATCGCCAGGCGAGTTTGCCAACATGATCCCTGGCCAGGGAATGATACAGAATCTCGCAATTCGCGACTGGGAGGAAGACGACAAGCACAAGCTGCACATCTACTCCACCAAGCACAACACACACATTACTTTGTCCAAGCCAAATCGAGATGCACTGATCAGCGTATCGTGCGGCAACATCGGGTTCCGGAAAGCGGGGCGCGGGACTTATGATGCGGGCTACCAACTGGCGGCGTTCGTGATGAGCCGGATACAGGACAAGGGCTTGTTGCCGCAGATCAAGAAGCTGGAGCTGGTATACAGGGGATTTGGGCAGGGCCGAGAGGCGGTCACAAAGGCGATACTAGGAAGTGAGGGCAGGAAGATACGAAATCTGATCGTCAAGCTCAGCGACAGCACGAGGTTGAAGTTTGGAGGTGTACGGAGCAAGAAGCCTAGAAGGTTGGGATAGAGGAATTAAGGGATGCAACGAGTCTTTGGGATGGGGACACTTCAGTTCGAGTGTACAATATGGCATTCTAGGCGCATGGGTATCTAGGAACATCAAAGTAGTGACGCGAGAACATGTACAAATGCAACAACAGATCAAGCAACATTGTACAATCAAGTCAAGTTTTTTGGCATCGGCGCTCTTTCCGCTGACGGCAGCGTACGACCGCTGCTATCGGTGTCTTTGAAGTTGACCAGCCGGGGGACATTCTGGTTGGATGCGTGCCTAGGAATAGAGCCTCTTGCGCCTCCTTGCTCACCTCGACGACTGCTACCAGGATGGCCCTCGCCTTGCCAGTTCTCTTCCTCTGCAGCTTGAATATGGCGCCGCTGTTGGTCGTGTCGCAGCATAGACGCTCTTTCGTCTTCGAAGTCCTCGTCAAGGAGCTCTCCATTCGCAGTATCATGATCCGGTGGCTCTATCCATTCCCGTGGTACGACGCATGGGAGAGCTACGCCTATGCTAGCGGCGCGGTTGATCCATGTGGGTGCGGGGCGGCCCGTGAGCTTCTCACATAGGTAGGATGTGAAGTGGTTGCAGTTCTTGGTGAGCAGGTTGTAGGATGTACCCTGGAACTCCATTGAGGCCTCGTGTATGATGGCGTCCATTTCCTCGGGCGGCCTGAAGGAGAAGCCATGCAGTATTGCTGTCCTGAAAGTGCCGCCAGGCGGTTCTAATCTCGGCTTTGTCCAGTATACGCCAGTCTGATTCCGCAGATCGTGTCCCCCGTATGCATACTCGCGGTCGCCAACTACAACGCCGGTGTGCAGCAATGAGCTACCAATTGCCCAGAGCACTGTCGAAACTTTGCCGGGCGGCAGGAGGTCGTAGACGTGGATGGAGACCTCGGCCCGTGAGAGGGAAAGGGTGGTTCGGTGTGAGCCCGAAGACTTGCGAGACGGTTTCGTGCGGCTCGAGGAGGACATGCTGTGTGATTTTGTGGGGTACGTGAACGGGTGGTACAAGGTGCTGGGGTGATTCTCGTCAAGCCCGGCAGGATATCATGCAGCCTTTGTACAGGTGCATGCGCGCAGTACACAGACAGTGTCTGGGGCAGGGGGAGAGGAGGATAGGAGGAGAGCGTGCGAGCGGGACCAGCCCTTTGAGGATGCTGTGGAGGAATACGTAGTGTGTCTCGAGGAGGTGGAGGAACCGTGGATTGGCAGACGACATGATCCGCCGCCGTCTATGGTCGGCCATCTGGACGCTCTCGGCTCGCGTGCACCCCTGCTGCGTCGCCCTTTCCGCTCTCGGCAAGCGGCACACTGCGCACTGCGCACTGGCCGGGGCTCCAAGCTCGCAGAATTCGGCTGGTGTCGCTGCAAGTCCCTCTGCCCTCCGACACCCAACCACACGCACGCCAACCCGGAGAGCTGGCTGCAAAGTCATCTCTTGGGCCCCTCACTGCAAAACGCCCCCCGCCATCCCTCTCACCTTTTCCTTCTCTTCGTTGATACCCACTTTTTGCCGCCCAGCAGCAAGCACTGCCTGCTGCGATTTTCCTACTCTTCTCCACCCTTCTTCTACGCGAAAATTCTGCATCTCCTTCACCACTGTCCGCACCTACGCGTCGGCCAAGAAGAAAAAGATGCCTCCCAAGAAAGCCGTCAAGGAGGAGAAGGTCCTTCTCGGCCGCCCGGGCAACAGCCTCAAGAGCGGTATCGTGAGTGAGCGCCCTGCTGTGTGTCGTTGTCGCGTTCTCACATTAACAGTAGTCGCCAGGTCGGCCTAGCAAACGTTGGTAAATCGACCTTGTTCCAAGCCATCACCAAGTGCTCGCTTGGTAACCCCGCCAACTTCCCATATGCCACCATCGACCCAGAAGAAGCTCGCGTCATTGTTCCCGATGAGCGCTTCGACTGGCTGGTAGAGCACTACAAGCCCAAGTCGCAGGTCCCCGCCAATTTGACTGTCTACGATATTGCCGGTCTTACGCGCGGTGCCTCGACTGGTGCTGGTCTCGGAAACGCCTTCTTGTCACATATTCGCGCCGTCGATGCCATCTTCCAGGTAGTGCGGTGCTTCGACGATGCCGAGATCATTCACGTTGAGGGTGACGTCGACCCGCTCCGTGACTTGGACATCATCGCCGAGGAGTTGCGCCTCAAGGACATTGAGTTTGTTGAGAAGTCCCTCGAGAAGCTCGTCAAGGAGACCAGGAGAGGTGGTCAGAGCTTGGAGATGAAGAAGCTCAAGGAGGAGCAGGCGACCGTCGAGAAGATCCTCGCCATGCTCAAGGACGGCAAAGACGTCCGAAAAGGTGACTGGACACCAAAAGAGGTACGTAATCTTCCACTTGTCTCACCACCACCCTCGAAAGATGACAAAGAGCGATTGCTCTCTAATCCCAGCTCTCTGATGTCCTAGTAACGCCAGGACTTTCTGAAGTGACGTCCATTTCTGACTTTTTACCCCAACTGCTCTGTTTTACAACTTGATACAAGTCTGCGAACACAAGCTTACAGTTCAATAGGTCGAGGTTATCAACCCTCTCTTCCTTCTCTCGGCCAAGCCCGTCGTCTTCCTCGTCAACCTCAGCGAGAAGGACTACGTCCGCCAGAAGAACAAGCACTTGCCCAAGATCGCGCAATGGGTCAAGGAGCACGCTACTGGCGACCCTGTCATCCCCATCTCCGTCGCGTATGAGGAGCGCCTCGCTGCCATGACCGATGAGGAGTCTGCTGAAGAGCAAAAGACCGTTGGTGCCAAGTCCATTTTGCCCAAGGTTGTCATCACTATGCGCAAGGCTCTCAACCTTGGCAGCTTCTTCACAACCGGTACCGATGAGGTCAGGCAATGGACGTTACGAAACGGCACCAAGGCACCGCAAGCTGCCGGTGTTATCCATGGTGACTTTGAAAAGACCTTCATCCAGGTCGTAGTGTACAACTACAGTGTCCTGAGGGAAGAGGGCGATGAAGCCAGCGTCAAGGCGAAGGGCAAGATCATGACCAAGGGTAAGGATTACGTCGTCGAGGATGGTGATATCATCCTCGTCAAGGCTGGTGCGGCCAAGTCGTAGACCACGCACAGCTTCGGCGTTTTCTTGCTTGGCCACATACAGTACAGACCGCACTGTAAAAATGGCTTTGTGGTCATGGCAACACCGATCCATGAAGGTTACGTCTCACACGTATGACTGAATGAAGAAATGCCATATAAAACAATGTCGGTAACGACTTGAAAGCAATGAAATCGATCATATCAACATATCCTATGTGCACAACATTCATTTTCAGACTTGACATTTGCAAACGATCCCGGAGCTCCGCTGGTTTCCAGAACGAACATGGCTGCTCCAGGGCTCCATTGAAGTGGAACCTTGCCCATAGTCACAAAAGACATGCTCGCCTACGAAGTATCCTTGCCACTTCCTCTTCAACCTTGTGTAAACAGCTCAACATCACATAAGACCGCGAGACCAATTTACGGTTCTTCTGTTCTGCGTTCGCCATCTACATGAAAACAGCCTAGACCTTGGAAAACAACCCGTGGGTCTCGCCCACCGCACTTCCACCCCTTCGCGTCACCGCCACCATCTACCTCAAACCCCGCCTTGGCAGCAAACACGATTCACATATCATGTAGAGCTATCTTTAGCAGCGGCATAGACGAGGTATGACCCAAGCTAAGATGCTTCTCTGATCTTTCTTCCGCCGCTTGTGAAGGACGCGGCTCGGGTCGTGAGTCTAGGCCACCATGGTATTGAGTCCATACACGTAAACCAAACGTTTAACCTGAGCTCTCGGGCACGTAGGACTTGGCAACATGCCTACTTATTGCAGACGTTTGAGACGAGATATCGGCGTGTCCCGGGTGAGCGGACGCAGTGGCATATTCGGGCGGTGTTTGTTGTCTTCTAAAAGCTGTGTGGGAGGAGGGGGGGTGGGACCTCTTTTGAAACAATGTCCACGCTTTTTCCCGCGTGCTGTTTCGGTGCAGTGTCTATCTGCGAAACAAAACAGTTACCCGACGCAACAAACACTGTGAATTCGAATGAGTACTGCTTGCGCGCATTTGGGGGTATCACATCATATCAATCGAACCATGTGTTTAGCTTCACTTTCTTTCATTACGATATTACGTCCACATGCGTCTTATCGACACGGATCTTTTGCTGCCGCAGACAGACAGCTTTCCCAGCTTACATACAAAGACAGGTAAAGAAAATCTTTCCTCCGTCTTGAACTCGACACCGCGACAAGACCCAATAGTAAGTAGGGTAGGCAATATAACACAACATACACACCAAAAGAAAAGGTTGGATGAAAAACCAGGGAGAATAGTGAAGAAGAGTGAACGAGAGACAAGAAAAATTGCGGAATAATGGTCGGTATGTACAACGGAGGAGGGTGTGGAGGATGTTTGGTGGGTTGACGTCGCGGAAAGACGTCGGGTATCTGGTAGCGACCGGTCGCGAAGTCATGACTTCGATAGTCTATTGATCGGGTTCGCAAAAGGCGAAAAGCAGATTCGGCTAAATGCAGAC